GATGTAACGCACACAGGGTACACCGAATGCCAGTGTCTTGCCTGAACCTGTCTCGGCGACACCAACCATGTCTCTTCCTGACAGTAAAAATGGCCAGGTCGCTGCTTGTATAGGTGTAGGGGCGCTGAACTTGGCAAAGAAGGCGCGTTGCGCATCGTCGACTGGGAGGTACTTGAAGTTGAGGATGGGTCGTAGGGCGCGAGCGGCGGGTTTGGGGTCTTGGATAGTCATGGTGTTTTTGGCAAGGAAGGCGTCGACTTCGGCCTGAGGAAGCTGCGTCAGCTCCTTGCTCTCCTCATAATCGCCCGATTCGGTCGCGGTTGCGCTCGTTGCTGTAGGCTCGGCGCTGGCTTGGACCGATGAAGGCTTCGATGAGGACGCAGACTCGGTAGCTTCGCCCTTTGCCAATGCCTTCAAGCGCTTCTTCTCTGCCTTCCGCGCTGCCTTCTCTGCTGCCTTGATGGCTTCCTCGCTCTCTTCCGCAGTCTGGCCAGCTGGCTCGTCTTCCGCCGCAGCCTTCAGCGCTTTTTTCGCCTCTTTAGCCTCCTTCTTTGCTTTCTTTGCCGCCTTGCGCTCGGCCTTTGAAAGCTTCTCGTCATCTTCAGAGCCCTCTACAGCTTCGACATTGCCGTTGGTCTCGGTCGCGTCGATTTCAGCGGTCTTGCTAAGCTTCTTGCTCTTGTCTTTCTTGCTCTTCTTCCTTGAGAGCTCGGGTGTAGTGGTCGCGCCATCTTCGGCGACAACATCAGCGATCGGACGTTTCCCCATCTTGTTGTTGGGCAATGGCACTTGTGGAGAAGCTGCGAAGGATGGCGGAAAAATCACTTTTTTCGTCGGCAGTCGGACCAGGGCACTATCGATAAGACCGCGACTAGTCCCAAAGGGTCCAACGCGATCATAGACCAGCAAGTCTCGCGTCCTCGATGCTTTTCACCACCCTGCGCATGCACCGAGTGTGACGCGTACGAGTCTCTGTGTCTGCCCATAGCAGACTGTAGTTTTTTGATCTTCCGGACTGGTGATCGCAAGCAAGCTCCGTAATTCCGCGCTAGTCAAAACTTTTACGCACTCGCTCTCACTACCGCGAGCCATGACCAGAACCACTAAACAACAGGGACCGCTTTTTCCAAGACTTCACGAGCGATCATGGCGGACGTGACAGTGCTGAGATGTTGGCCAGCCTGCGTCGACGCAATCGATTGGTCTCCGGATGGCATCATTGCATTAGCGTCGGATGAGCGCGTGGAGCTGCTCGTGAGTTGTGATCTATTCGCGTGCATACATAAGGCATCTCTTACTAATCGCTGGGTAGTTCCCAAACACCATCGACTTTGAGCGAGATCAAGTTGCCCCTCAGTGGCAACACGTACCCCTCAAGGTGCCTTTGTTTTCCACCGACGAGCTACCACTCAAAGAGCCTGCGCCTATATCAAACTATTCCGTTGGAGAGGAAATCTCGAATAGTGCACCCATCAACATTGCGTGGTCGCCGCCTGGCCTTGCGAAACACCGAAAGTGTGCACTTGCAGCTCTTACTACGAATCTGACGCTTTCGATCTGGTCAGCCGAAGGCAAACTGCAAGAGGAAGGAAGCTGGGCTCGGCGGCTCATCATCAACGATGCGCTTGCTGATCACTTCGAAGATTGTGATGACGAGCTCAGCCACTTGACAGTATCAACTAAAGAACGACTGCGTTTGAGAAGCCGCATTCGAGCGTTCGCTTGGGCACCCGCTCTACCTGGTCCGGAACTGACTGGTGTCGTTGGAACTCACCTGTCATATGGTCAGCACATGATAGCTGTCTCTAATGACGACAACTACCTAGTCTTCTTGAAAATCGAATCACCAACATCCACCTTGGGAGCTGAGCGAGACTGGAGGGCAGATGTTCTGATACATGAATCTTTCGCACCGCCCTCAGATACCATCTTTCTAAAACCCAACGTTTTTGAAGACATGGTTAAACAGCAAAGGTATATTTCACACATTGCATGGAGTCCTTGGATCATTCGTGACGACTCCCATCATTCCGTAATCGTATACGCTACGAATGAAGACGTACGGGCTCAGGCAATCACGTACACGAATGGGCGTATGACCTTGGACAATGAAGTCATCTACACAGGCTATGTACTCCGATACGATGGGCCAATGAAGTGGTTCGACAAGCCCGAGAGCGGAAGCAGACTAAAGCTTGCCCTTTTCACGAACACGGAGCTAGTATACTTGACGATATCAGCCCTCGACGCTTCTATTATCACAAAGAGCACGCATGATCTGGACGGCCGATGGGACCCCATCTCTGGTGTAGTCTGGGATACGACCGAAACAGTAACACCTCGCCTACACATAAGCTCACTGATATCGACCCTCCACAATCCGACCGCTGTTCTTGAGGAGACATACGATGGCCTGAAGAGTCTTGGTGTTCCAAATTGGCGGGAGAAGATTGAGAACAACTTGGCGCTTTTCAGTGTAAAGAATGGACTCAAAGGAAATAGCAAAGCGAAAGTGTGGGGTCTAACAAGGTCACCTCTAGGCGACTTCATCGCCGCATGCAACAGCGTACATCCTTCTGATATGATCGAGTATGGCATTCCGGCTGACCGAAGCGGCACCGTGGCGATCAGCTCCTTGCGACGTGGTAGCCAGCGGCGAGATATATTTCCAAACGAGGACGTCACCGCTGAGGGTATAACGTACAGTCTTAAGAAACTGGCAGAAGGGGCTGTCGAGGATCCCGATGATATGCCTGCATTCGCAGAAGAGATGGTTATGAAGCTCGTCAAGACTTATACAACTCCTTCTCGACCCGAGAACAGCGCAAAGACATCGACAGCGTACTCCGATGTCAACAATCTCGACTCGCTCATAAGGGAATTCAAACTGTCTGCCTTTCTCGATGCGCATACACTGAAGGACCGTTACACTTTACTCGTATCTGAAGCATACAAGACACAGATCCAGAAAGACCTGTTCAGGACACTTATCGCGTATCGTCTCGCTCTTGCCTTGCAACAGGTTCCTCTATCGCTCTCAAATACTCCCTTCAGTGCAGAAATCGGCATACATCACAAGCAACTCATTGCTCTCGTTAACATGGCCATGAGCCACAACGATACATCGGAAGACAACGATCTTCCAACAGTCACTACTGGTGTGATGGACAGCAGCAGTTCGACGGATCAAACATCAGCAACCTCAACAGCAGACACATGTGACTTTTGCTCGGCCCCTATACCCTTCACAGACCTTGCTTCAGCAGCTTGCACCAACGGACATCAGTTCCCCAGATGCGGATTGAGTTTTCTGGCCATCCAAGCACCAGGTATCACCAAGTATTGTGGCATATGTAACACTCCATTCTTGAGTGATGAGTGTGTCATGGCCCAGGAATATGTGGACAGCAAGAAGAGTCTAGATACTGGAGGCGATGTAGTTATGGCTGATGTGACAAGAGATGGAGAACTCTCAGAGGCGGATGGTAGAAAAGACAGGGACAGTGGTTCATTGAATGGAGCGGATCGAGAAAGTGTAGCTGAACAAGACATGGACGAGGACCAAGCAAGCGACGACCCAGAAGACGAGGACGGACTGTACGAAAGGAGGCAGATTCCTGTTACGTTGGCTCGAGTATTATTCCTTGCCTGCGATGCTTGCGTCTACTGCGGTGGCAAGTTTGTTGGTTGAAAGAACTCAAATGAGCTTACCCAGCTTGAGAGGTACGAAACAGCGCATTTTGGTGGATTGAATCCATCCCCAGAAATGACTCTCATGGTAAACACTATCGACTTTCATAGAGAGATATAGCGTAAGATTCTACTTATCCCTTCATGGTAGACTTTACCGAGGTATTGATTGGAACTTCCCTACGCATCCTCTATTCGTTTGCATAGCTTGGCCAAATGTTAAAGGACAACATGGCCACAAAACCTGGAAGTTTAATCATCCCACTTGTTTCGCCCAGCATGTTCATGACGCTCATGTCCCTTGTCGCGGGACGGAAGAGGACATAAGGTCCGAATGCCGCTTGAATTACGGTCCGGATCCCTTGGCATCCATCCGCACAAACTACGCAACTCCACTTTTCACCGCGGCAAGCCCTGGCGCTTTCTAGAAGACCGGCCAGATCGCCGCACAAGTCCCTCACGCCCCACCCAATCAACCGCACAATGTACGCACACGAGTGGGAGCCAATAGTGGGCAGGAGGCGCATGGAGCCAAACGGAGATGTCAACCAGTGAGGCCAAAGCCTATAGTCAATCTTGCTACAAACACGGTGTGATGCGGGGCAAATTGTCTGAAGCCCACGGACGGGAGCCGCCGCTGACGGCGTTGCCCCAGGGAAGGGGTGGCACGAATTGCCCTGCGTTTTGCCTTGCTGCCGCACAAGTCGCGCATGCTTTGGGTATATAAAGACTTCGTTGCTTACCTTCTGTTATGATCTTCTACACCACAACAATCAAGTTCATATCCCAGACCAATTCAATCTTCACTATAACAACCTTCTTCAACCAAACAACCACCTCCCAACAACCATCAATATGAAGGGTAACTGCGGCTGTGCTTCCGGTAGCTGCAACTGCGGCTCCACTTGCACCTGCGATGGCTGCCCCGTATGTCATACCTTCTTATCCACTATGAACATTATACTGACGACTTGTAGGGTAAATAAGCCAGCTAACTGCGAGGCGAGGATGCGCAGAGAGCGTGACAAGGTGAGTGAAGTCGTGTCATATTACACACATATCAGTGCACTAATCCTGTGCAGATGGTTTCGAACAAATCGTGTCTACTTGATTCTTGAAGACATGCGATCACTAGGGGAAGGGGGGCGTTAGGACGCTCAAGTGATACCAGATGAGAAATTCAATTGTTCCAACACAATATTCGCGTAGCGAGTATTTCTTCCATCCTGTGAAGTCTTTATTCCTTCGCACATCTTCAAATTATGTGATACAACAACCGTGCGATACTGAATCGACCATATCATGTCTTTTTATCCGCAACAGACCGTAGCGTTCTCCTGCATACGGTCATCGCCGCCACTGCTGAGGTTGAAGCTTTCCCATCCAAAGATGAAGTAGCCCAGATATGCACCAATGAAAATGCAAATGATGAAGTATCCGTTGTAATACATAGCCAACAACATAACGAAGTAGGCCACGGCAAATGCGCACATGTGCAGTGCCGCTCTAATCGCCTGCTGCATAACGCTCGGTCGGAATTTGCTTGTTGTGGTGGGTGTAGGTGCTCGAGCAGCGGATGTAGTTGTAGCGGCGGGAGTCTTAGTCGTGCCGTCATTGCTTGATGAAGAAGAGGCAGAGGAGCCGATTGTTGAGGGAGCGAACTTCTTAGAATACTGTGAGACGATGTAGCGATCGTACTCTTTGGCTGCGCGGCGCAGAAACTCGAGAAGGATGACAAGGAGGACGACACCGATACAGGAACCGGCAAACATGGCTTTGGAGCGAACGTGCCAGGACTCTGCGATGAAGCATGTGTCGATTACGTTCCAGTTCCATAACATCTGTGAGATACGTATGTTAGCTGGGGCACTCGATAGCGCACGTACACGGAACGGGACTCACACTGATCTTGCATCCACCCATCATGTCCATTGCATCATCCATGCCGCCCATGCCGCCTGATGAGGTTGTCATAGGCATCATGTCACTGGCAGTCGGTGTCATAGTCATGCTCGGCATAGCCATGCCTGTGCTTGTTTGAGCCATTGACATGATTGCTTGCGCCTGCATGGAAGGAGGTGAGAAGAGGGTTCAAAGTTATATCGTAGGGACTGCAAAAGATTGGGAACCTACTGGGAAATTGAAACAGCGCAAGGAATGACTCTACTTCAATAATTCGTCTCAAGTAAGGTTGAGCAAGTTATGAGCAAGTTTCCAAGCGCGATAGATGTTGAAAGGAAGCAGCAATCACCACAACGCGGTTTACGTTCAAGAGCTGGGGAAACTGAAGAGGGTTTACGGCAGAATGGGAATCACACAATATAAGGTTGTATCAAATATCAATGAAAGCACGGCGGTTATGCCTTTTTTCGGGTGATGCAACCTTCTGCGCACTTCACAGGCCCAGAAAGCTTCTACGGCCATCATCACGAAGTGGCGTGGTGCTCACAGACCGTTCACCGAATACGGCCTTGCGCAAGTATCTCCCATAACCATCTCAGCCTACCATATCGTAAGATAACGCAGTAAGAGACCCGCTTATCCGTGTGGTGGTGGTCGTTGAGACTTGACAAGCAGGGACGACCTGCAGAAAGCTATACCGGAATAGGTCTAGAGGTCGAATGAAGTGAGAAGGTTTCTGAGCACATTTCACGCCCTCCGAATCCTGCGTGAAGATAACAGTCGACAAAGTCTGACAGGTCTTGAGATGCAGCGAGATGTTGGATCCATACAGGTGGTGGATGTTTGTTGGTGAAGCGAGGGGAACGGGCCGCTTGTGTGCATCTGTTGGGACTGCAGCTTACAGGCAGAATACTTTCAAGTCAACGTGCGATATATGGACTTATATTGCAAGCGCAGCAGAATATCGTGCGGCTGCATCCCGGTGATATGGGTGCCAGTCTGGCAAGGGTAAGAGAAGGACGAACTACTGCAGGGGTTGGGGCATATGAGCATGCGATGTGCGTGTTGGATGCAACGACAAATTGGCTAAGCGACAAAACTCCGGCATGCTTGCGATGATATCAGTGCGTTGTGGCTCTCAACACTGAGAGATCTTTGTCTCAAAGAGCAGTCCTGCGCGGGCCAACGTGGCTTACGTATATCACGTCACATAACGTCAAGGCAGATTGGCTGGGTAAAGACTCTTTGGCGGTGTTGGTACGACAGAAGACCAACTAAAAGCGCATCTCACTGTTGTCAGTGTTGTTTCCGGTCATGGTTTGTTGAACCGCCCGACTAGTATGCCTGCTCAGCCACAGTCTCGTTCCTGGCGAATGGATCGATGCTTGGATCTGTAATCCTCACATGCTCGATGAATCGCGCAATGTTTGTTGCGTTTTCCGCACTATACGTCTTCTCAACCCAATGCAGCATCATATCGATGCCAGCTGTGACTCCGGATGAGCTCCAGATAGGCGGTGAGCTTGAATAGTCCTCCACCCATCGAGCAGACGAGACCCATGTTGTATTCGGATTGGCTGCTACTGTCGTTGACCATGAAGATTTGTTCGCAGTAGCTCTCTTGCCATTCAGTATACCAGCACGAGCCGCGAGAGCTGACCCTGTACATATAGTGAGGACTTGTCGGACTTTCGGTGCAGTTTCCCTGATGTACGCCATAGTAGCGTTCAAACTTGTTGGATTGCGCCATCCCTGACCGCCAGGAATGATGAGAACGTCTAGGTCCGGTGCTGTCTCGAACACGTGTGTAGGCGTGATAGATGGATACACAGAGGAGTTCAGTGGATTCATCGCAGCCATTACTGGGCGCGTGGTGACTGGTTCCAGAGTCTCGGCGATGTACACAATGTTTGTTGGGTACGATCCGCCGATGAATTGAAGGATCTCTGATGGACCGTATACATCAAGCATGTCGAACATGCGGAAGAGAACGATGCCATAGGTGCGTGGTACGGGCGTATTCGACACTGATGAAGTCAGCTCTTTTCTTAGCTTTCCAACCTAATTAGTGATCTCTTACAAGCTGCTGTCGAGACGAGGGGGATAGAGAGAACAGACACAATAGGCCAGATGAACTGTAAAAAGCCACCCATGGTGTATGTGAGAAATATGAAACTTGTTGAGCAAAGTGCTAGACGTTAGTCTTACCATGCAATTTGAAGCTATTTGAATCACGTTGGTCACATACACAATCGTATGTTGAAGCTTCCACAATTGAGTCACGTAGACATATTAGGTGTTCGTCTCGTGCACTCTATCACAAACAATATGGAACTCTTGGCCAGTTCCAAAGCCTGCAACCACACATAGCTTTTGATGAAATATGGGGAAAGGCGTCCAGCCATATTTCCATATCGGTGAATTCCCAATCTGCGATGAGAATACTCATAGGGTCGGCGAAGGTGTGGTGTGGAAGCTCTACAAAAGCGCGTTGGCAAACAGCTGGATCGCGTTAGCATTGTCATACAATCTTGCTCAGGGGTTAAATATGTTCAGCTTCTTCGCAGGTATGCGCGGTTGGTGTTGCGCTAGATTGCGCAAGTTCCTGCATAGACAATGTCAGATGTACCATAGTAGTAGATAGGCGAAGAAAGACACCAGTGCAGACGGTCCGTGTGGGGTGTGGGGAAATGCCCGAGCCACGAACGCGATCGCGTCTTAATTGCCCGCTCATCCATACACAGCAATCATGTCATCACTATGCGCTCAGTACTGAATACACTAGAAGCCACAAATTGTATACAACTATCGTGAGTCGAAACCTGACTCGCTATGTCATGAATAGATAACCTAAGAGGCGCCCTTGCGCCCAAACGCCAAACGCATTGGAATCGAGGTATCAATATAGGTGACGATCTCACTATACTTCATAAATTACAATATGCTAATGAAAGCGCAGAAACAGACAATGCGAAAGCGCAACCTGCAGCGGAACCACTATGCGCACCCTAAGATTGCGACCGAATCGAACGAAGCATGGAGATGACTGGAATGAGCTTGCGCAACCTGTTCTTCTCCTTCGATTGAACAAAATGCGTATCCTGGCGCCTAAGAGGACTCGGGTCGATGGGTGAGACGGTGACGGAAGCACCCTTGTCTGCGGCGGGATCGCACGCGATAACTGATGTCTTCCTACGCACAATGGGGGAACCGACAGGAGAGCGCATCTTATCAGCGATCGGTGAGAACATGGCCTGCTTGCGACCAACGGGCGAGCAGATGACGATGGGTCTCTGTCCGTCTGCGGTGGGCGACGTGACCACAATTGGGCTGTTCTTGCCAACGACAGGCGAACAGATGATAATGGGTCGCTTCTTCTCGGTGATGGGTGTGACGAGCACGATCGTGCTCTTCTTGTTCTGATTGAAGACACTGATCTTCTCTGTGGGGGTAGATCCTGGGATGATAAGCTCGGGAAGCGTAACAGCATCCTTCGTTGCGGCCGACTTGCGCTTCAAGCTGAAGTACGATCCATCTGGACCGTCAACCCAAGAGCCATCAAAGTCTGGACTTTCCAGTGCTTTTCTGGCCACTTGAGCCTTAGCCAGATACATGAACTCGTCGCCCTCTACCTTGATCATGCAATTGTGCCAGGGTGTCGGAAGCTGGTATTCGTAGACCGGATTTGGCTCGAGACGCGTCTCCAGAGAGTCGATTGCGCGAACCATGTTTGCTGGTAAAAGACGGATAGCGAACTTGGGGCCTGCGTTGTTGTGTGCGTGGATGGACAGACGAACGTAGTTGGGAAGCAGAAGCTCAGTCAAGTTTGAGTAGGCTTGGTTGCGAGACATCATTTCTTCAGCCACAAGAGCAGCAGTCTTCTTCTTTTGTTTGCCGCTCAGCGACTTGACTGAAGGGATGTCTGCAAGGTCCTCCAACATGAAGCGAGTCTGGCCGCGGTAGAGACCAAGAGCGTCGGGCTCCTGCTTCTCGATCAACTGACGGATATACGCACGGTCAGGTCCTCCAATCCCCAACATCAGCTTGCGACAAAGCTCGGCATCACCAGTGAGCTTGGTCTTCACAGGGTGCGGCATCTGATGGGAGTTCAGGAGCAGCTTTTGGAGACCTTGGAAGCCCTCAGAGTCAGCAGAGAAGATATTCTTCAGGCCCTTGAACTTGATGGTCGGGACAGGGCCGACATCTTCCGGATAGCGCTCCTTGTATATCGCAGCCATGCAAGCATCGTATGTGTCGATCATCTCATCGTCAACGCCGACTGTCATCTATGCTTAGTACTGTTCCTGGAAGAGAGAGTCCAGGGAAGACTTACTGCAATCGGAGAACACGTGGCCATCGTTGATAACCCACATGGTCGCACCAGGCTCGTAAACCGTATTGACCTCCTTGACGAACTCATGGAGTGCGTCCATGGCGATATGCTCAGCTAGATCTGGCATGATACCCCCAACTTTATTCGGATTGGGCGATTTGCAAGGGAAGGCAGGTAAGGCAAGCTGGATGGGAAGGTTCTTGTCGACGTAGCCGTAGACGCGGTTTAAGAAAGCTTCCTTTCCACAGACATGCCATTGGTCGTCCCTCGACACGTTTTTGAGTCTACGTTCGAAGATATCGGCTATCGTTGCACATGTTTCTCGGTGTTTTGCTGCCCATGGCGTCGTCGATGCTGAGATGTTCGCAAATGGCTGGAACTCGGTCTCTAGAAGAATGAAGCGCTCTGCCCATACCCCGAAGCCGTCGGCTTTGACAGACTTCGGCCTCGATGTCAGCATACCTAAGAAGAGACCATTCTCGTGTTCGATCTCGGATACTTGGGTACAGAGTTCTTCTTGTTGATATGAGGGAGGGTAACTCGAACGAATGTTAAGAAGAGCAGGGATATCGGCTGTAATCTGGAGAGTCTTGATGGACTTGCCAGAGGGAAGATTGAGCTGAGCCCATTGCCTCTCTGTGGAGCAAACGATGTCCTTTAGTTGTGTCCAGATTTCTGGCAAGGATTTGGAGTTACTGCCTTCGACCGCCAGGAGCTCACCAGAGGCATTCCTCCAGTACAGGCCCTGAATGCAGTGGTAGGTGTTGATGGACTTGTTTAGTGGTGCCATGGTAAATGATTGACGATAAGAGGCAGATTTTCGCTAAAGTAAAATGCTAAGAGTCGGAACAAAGGAGATGGAATGAAGAAACGTGCGTTGAGCAATTGTAGGGGCTGTTTACTGGCCTGCAGAACCGCCAACAAGCCGGCTTCTAATATATGAAAGAGACTCAACACACATGTCTCAAACATCACAAAGGTGATGCTCCACTCGGTCAAAGCGCGCTCGCCCCAGCCAGCTGCGGATAGCATCAACGACAAGCCACAACTCGTGCACTCCGCACACCGACTGGTACGCTAATTACGGCACAATTCAACCTCGCTACGCATCGGGTCAGCCCATTGAACTGGCCGTCGCATTCAACATGCCTGGCGGCAGTGTGGATCCGCTTGATGCTTTGCTGTTGCAGTGGGACAAATGGCATGCTGTTGCCAGCCGGGATGCATAACTAGGGAACTTGGCATCCGCAGCTGCCTGGGGCTAGCTGAAGTGACTCTGCGAGTAGACGGCGAGTTATCTTGCACAGACGTCCGTCATACGGCAGGATTCAGCGAGCCATCATGCAACAACAGGTCTAGACAGGTGGTCGTTGCAGAGCTATCATGACCCCACGACAGGCGTATGCACTGCTTGGCAGCATAACCTGGGTGGAAGGATCTCCGCCCCTGTCAGCCCCACAACAAACGGTTGTTTCCACCCAGGTGTTACAACAGGATCCGAACGTTACCATCCAAAACTCCTTATTTTCTAAAAGTAGGTGCATGGAGCTGGCGTGCAGGGTATGCGCGCCAGCCTATCTCGCTTCAGCTTTCGCTTAGACACCGCCCCCAACTTACCGAGTTGGGGCTGAGATCCTTCTCGCATGGCGGCTAGTTCCATATATGCTTTGGCTAAACAGTCGTCGTCAGTACTATCAGATTTGTAGCAAGTGAGCATCATGGTTTCGTCTCTTTCGCTGGTGTTTATCGCCGCTTTCGCTATCGTCTTCGGTGTGTTCTCATTCTTTGTCTACCTTTTTACACCACCCCGTAATTTTCCAAAGAACATACCAACCATACCATTCTATTATGGTCTTCTACCGCTTTTCAAGGATGTTGACCAAGCTGAGCTATACCGACAATATCTCAAGGAACCTCTGGCCAGATATGGTGCGGTCAAGTTATTCTTTGGTGGACAATGGTCAGTCCGCCAATGTACCTGACACATTTGCGGCACACACTAACTTCGCATGTCGAATTGTAGGAACATACTAGTAACCAAACCCGCGTACATTGCGGAGATGTTCAAGCATGAGGACACCTATGCCAAGTCTGGAAATCAAGTCAAGATTCCGCACAGTGTGCTCGCCGAGTACACGGGCGAGAACATCATCAGCGCCCATGGCGAGAAATGGAGACTCTACCAACGAGTCATCAAACCCGCTCTGCAAGCTGACCAGGACTCGGAACAAATCTGGAAGAACTCCAGAATGCTCAGGAACATGTTTCTGAGCGACTCAAAGACTGCTGGCGGCAACGGCATCCCAATATACTCACTTCTTCACCGGTATGCGCTCGCCAATCTCTCAGAAGTGTTGTATAGCTCAAGCTTTGAGACGCTGCAGCATGTGGACGCACCACTACATATGATTCAGATGAAAATCAAGCCGATCATCTTCCAGCCTATCTTCATGAACTTTCCATTCCTCGACTATTTACCATTGGAAGTTCGGAAGCTCGGTCGTGTGCTCAGCAAGCAGTTCCGCGGCACTCTCCGCACTGCCATATCCAAGGGACATTCCCAACACGTCTGTAATGAGAACGACAACAGGAACGTTGCTTGTAGGCTGCTTGGCTCGCATCGCGAAGGTATACTCAGCGATAAGGATCTCGACGACAACCTCGTCAGCACCTTCTTAGCCGGCCATGAGAACCCTCAGCTCGCGCTCATGTCCCTTATGTACCTGCTCGGCACGCATACACCAGTCCAAGAAGCGGTTCGCAAAGAGATCTCAACCCTCTTCCCTGCCGATGCACACGTAGACTACGAGCCGTCCTATGCCGATCTCCACGACCTGCCACTCCTCACCTCAGTCCTCTACGAGTCTTTACGCATGTTTCCTCCAATCTCACAGCTTATCAATCGCCGTACAACAACACCTGTCGTACTTGGCAACAAGATACCTGTACCCTCCGGTGTCTACATGGGTTACAACGCATACTCCACAAATCGCAATACTGAGTTCTGGGGCGATGATGCCGATGACTTCAAGCCGCAGCGCTGGGGTACCACGAACGAGGAGATCAACCACCTATACCGTCGCGCCAACTCCAAAGGCTCTTTCATCAGCTTCCATGGTGGAAGAAGAGCCTGTTTGGGGCAGAAGTTTGCGATGCAGCAGCTGAGAATTACTCTGGCAAAATTGGTGAGGGGGTGCAGATGGAGGGTAGATGAGACTTGGGACGGTAGGATGACACCTGCTGGGCCGTTGTATCCCCGAGGCTTGAAATTGAAGTTTGAGAAGTTGACGGAGAAGTGAAAGTATTGGGTACAATAGGTTTGCATATGTGTGCATAGCGATCGGAGTTTCTGGATATGTGTCATGTGTTAGATGCAATGTTTATTGATTCTGGCTCTTAATGTCCCAACTATTTTATTCCACTATTTAAACATTGGAGAACCCTCCCATGGGGGTGAGTTGACTGTCGTGCAACAGCATCGATAAGTGCTTTACATGCTCAACCTATACATTTCATCTTCAAAATTTCAAAATTTCGAGCGCCTGCACTGTATACTGACTTTACAGGTTATGCTTGCTCAATTGGATTGACCATGCCCTCTGCAGATCACCGTTTACCAAGCGTGTTTGACGTGGGGTCCAAAACGATGTGACTGTGCGAAGGATTGCAACCCTGTAGCGGGTAGCAAAGGGCAGGGGATGCACCAGGCGGCTATGGGACGCCTGGCGAAAGCTCATGCTACAGTTGTCCCGCACATCCTAGTACTACCGCAAATACCACAGAAAATAAGGCTTACTCCAAGCTATAAAGTGGATCGGATCCAACGTGTCATAAATCCTTCGACTGACTTTTGGCTTGGACGTATTGTGATGTGGAGATTCGCAATAAACATAGTATACCCAAGCGGGAAGGGTGGGGACAGATAGTAAGAAAGTGCAATCTCGGCGCAACGATACGCCAGAAGCGATTTTACCATGCCGCAATCAGGCGTGCTGAAAACGTGACTTGCTTACGGTGGATTCCTCCGTTGTCGTGTTGAAAGAGGTTATGATTCTTGCAGAAACGGATATGCAACCAGGATTCTACCCACTCAGCGAAGTTTGTGCTTCGTAATCACATGTGCGAAAGAGCACGATGTACCTTCTCACTGCGATAGCGAACGACTACAGCACTCGAGTCGATCAGTTGTTGAGTCTGTCAAGTGCACTCAGTGAAACAGGCTTCGGCGATGCCGTTAGCTGCAGATTTTCAACCGCAAAATCGAAAACAGATGTAGCACAAAAGGAAACTCAGTAGTTAAGTGCCCAAAGCAGAGCTGAACGAATCGTGATTGGTAGAGATGGAGCGTCAAACTCTCCTCAAATGGCCCCTAGGTGTTGGTGAGGAGTCGCATGTCTACTGCAGACTCAACGCCTATCAGGACTGAGATCTGTTTCGAACTGATTGTGTGAATCTTCGATCTGATGCTGCAGTACTTCAAATCCTAGATAAACAGTATTTGATGCATATGCATTTGTCACAGCTTCATGAAAAAGATGCAATCACGTTGTGCTCTTCCGTCCAGCTTTGGGTGACTCATGATAACCTCTCTGGTAGCTGCATCCATCTCAGCAACGCCTTGCAACACTTCCAAGGCGCGATGATGCGGGGAAGATTGTAGTCAACCCTCAGCGAATCGTTGACAAGGCGGAGTATTCAGGACAAACTTATCCAGCTTAGTGTGGCGCTAAGCAATTCAGCCTCACGCGTCCCCCAGCTCTTCGGGTTCGCAGTGCTAGACGACAGGCGCTAGTGAAATAGACCTATTTTGCTGATGGTGTTGTATCAAACACCATACCCAGACAGTGCACGGTCCATGGGTAATGCTAGTATGCTGCTTCGGATTGCTATGCACAGACGGCTGCATATCTAGGTTCTGAATGTTTGTCCTCGGAGCCAGTTGTAACGGGCCGCCACATCTGTGCAAACCACGTAATGCAGTAAGAAGTGTTGAGTCTCAAGCAAGACGTAGTTTTTGGACGAGAGCTGGCCGATGTATTCGTCTATCCGTCCCGCATATCCAACACCAACAATGCTTTTCCCAGCCAATTCTGCGGCTGGTAATCCCTGTGACTGGAATAGCGGGTCGCTTGGCGATACACAAAGTGGCGCGGGATGCGCCAAAGCGTTCCTCTCGCAGGAGCTGACCGCAGCCGAGACGAAAATACGCCTTTGTACCAGGATGTCCTCCCATTGGTTGCGAGGGAGGGTAGGGCTGTGCTACAGCCTGTAAAGCAGAACACAACCGTGCCCAGAACAAGGTCTTGAGTTGTGCAGTCTTACGCAGCGCATAGTCGGCACGTAGGACGCTCCGAACACACGGCGATGCTAGTGTCTTTTTCATACATATCAGTCTTATCGTGTCCTTTGATCTCAAAAAGGCTCACTGTGTATCATCTGTCGCATCACATCGATACTGCTTTCTGCCATGCGTTCTCCAATCGACTTTGAGAAGGCCCATCATTACGATCGATGTCGTGAAAGCTTCGACAGCGATGACTACCCTTCACCACATGCCATCGATGAATCTGAGCAGTCATTAACGAACGATTCTGCTCCTCCTCCACCTCCTCCACCGTATTCGGCCTTCTCGGTCAATCGCAGAAGGTTTATCCTGGGTGTTGTTACAGCAGCAGGCTTCTTTGGACCGCTGTGCGGAGCGGTCTACCTGCCATCTCTGAAGCTGTTCCAAAAGATCTTCGAAACATCAGAAACCGCAGTCAATGGTACAGTTTCAATGTACATGGTGGTGTTCGCTGTTGCTGCAAGTCATTCCTTCCGGTGTACTAGAGCGCAAAACTAACAATCCACAGCCTCTCTTCGGTGCGGCAGCCTCTGACGTTGGCGGAAGGAAAACGGTGTACATGGTCGGACTCGGCAGTTTTCTCATTGCCAACACATTACTGGCTTTGCTGCCAGCACACATCGCTCTCCTATACTTTCTCCGTATCTTCCAGGCATTCGGATCATGTATCGTCTTCTCGGTCGGAGCTGGTACAGTAGCCGATATCACAGAGCCCGCCAGACGTGCATCCGCCTTAGCATGGTTTCTCATGGGACCTCAACTTGGCCCCATCCTTGGTCCACTTATAGGCGGTCAGTTCGCAACCGAGACCAGATGGCGATGGGTCTTTGGCTTCCTCTCGCTCGCCAGTCTTCCGGTTTACCTTGCCATCGTATTCTGCATGCCAGAGACCTTGCGGTCATTGGTGGGTAACGGCACAGCCCTTGCGCACCAGCCTTGGTTCTCGATACCAAAGTTCCGGACAAAACCGTGTACAGACATGAAAGTTCCGAAAGCTCCCCGACCGTCGTTTCGAAAATTCATGCACCTTCTCAAGTATCCTCCTCACTTGATTGTCTCTTTCAATGGTGCCTTCCAGTTTGCCGGTCTATATGGCATGTACATATCCTTCCCCACCATTTGGCAGGAAGGGTACAACTGGACAACTGCCGAGGTTGGGTATGGCTTCCTTTGTCCCGGTATTGCGATGTTCATTGCTTCGATCCTCGTAGGTCGACTCTCTGACTATATGCGCAAAAGGGCCATCGCGAACAGTTCTGATGGCAAGGTTGCACCTGAGCGGAGAATCGCCATCCAGATACCCGGATTTCTTATCGCAGCGGCTGGAAAAATCATGTTCGGTTGGTTCGCACATAATCACGTGCACCCAGCAGCGGGTCTGTTCAGTTCAGCTCTCGCAGCAGTTGGTGTTTCCGTCGTCTTCGTTACTAGCACTTCATTCCAGACTGAGTGTGATCCTGCTCAGACTGCCAGTCTAGTGGCATTAGGAGGATTTCTTCGCAATGTCGCTGCAGCGATTTGCGCAGCCATCATGGGTAGCATCCTGGACGGAATGGGCTGGGGATGGGCGTTCACCGGCTTAGGAATTTTGGACCTCCTCTGCATACCAGGAGTTCTCCTGATCTTGGTCCGTGGCGCAAAGTTCCGCGAGGCGTTGAAAAGAGAGCAGCAGCTAAATAAGTAAGTAGCTGGCTGACAACATGCTTTCGGTTTGGATTAAACTCCTCGCACGTGTCTGACGACTACGAGCGACAACTTGTCTTTTGGCATAGCGCGGCGTTGGTAGACATTTGGCTTTTTATATTAGCATGACACTTATTGAACAACGCATAATTCAACTCAACGTCGAGACATATCATATAAATTGTTCTGCAGGTGTCGTTTTTCTGATGCTATTGTAAGCACGAAACAGCTGGTTTGTGAGCGCGGAAGCTTCGGGGGCGAGAGTGAGCATCACCAAAGCTACCCCACGTCCCCCTAACGACGACCTCGGCACCTTGTAGCGGGTCAGCATACTGGGGTCGCATGTGCCTGCAAGGCGAATTGATAATCGAGCGGGTACGCGATAGAAGAAATGGAGATATCTTTCTGGAACAGCTGCGGAATTTACTACAAGGGCGAGTTTGGCCGGTCGCCGCGACTCCAACCTCTTCCGCCTAATTTGTCAGCAATACTCGCCATACGTTTCGGTATAAAGAGCATGTAACCTGGCGACTATGACATCACTTCATCAGCGAAATCAATCTCGCACACCTACATCGTGGCGTTCAGAGCAAGTCTACGCAAAATGACCAACTTCAAGGTCGACATTGTAAGCGACACTGTGTGCCGTAAGTCCCCATGAAAAAGCATCCAGTAAATGGATATTCGGCACTAACCAATTTATAGCATGGTGCTATGTAGGCAAGAAGCGCTTGGAGAAGGGTATCGCGGCCTACAAGGAGAAGCACCCTGATTCCACAGACACTTTCGATACCAACTGGTTCCCTTTTTACTTGAACCCCGATGCGCCAAAGAGCGCCGACAAGCAACAACTGTACGAGTCGAAATTTGGCAAAGAGCGCACAGCAATGATGCAAGAGCGCCTCTCACAGATTGGCAAAGAGGAGGGAATCAACTTCAAATACGGCGGCAAGACTGGGAACACACGCGATTCGCACCGGCTTATACAACTTGGAAAAACCAAGGGCCCGCAAATGCAGACGCGAGTGATTGAGGAGCTCTTCGCTGCATACTTCGAGAATGAGAAGGATATTACTACCCAAGAGATCTTAACCGAGGCAGGTGTCAAAGCTGGGCTGGATGAGAAAGAGATCAAGGATTGGTTGGAGGCAGGCAAGGGAGGCCCTGAGGTTGATAAGGAAGTGCAGCAGGCGCGTCGACAACAGATCACTGGCGTTCCCAATTTTACCATAAATGGCATGTATGAAGTCGGTGGAGCACAGGATCCGGCTGCCTTTGTACAGTTGTTCGAGCGATTGAAGAGACAGGAAGGTAACCTGTAAGCAGCTCGGTGTCCGATACCCCTCTTAGCAGATCCAATACATTCACATTCCTAATACCACCACGCCATCTCGACACACCATAGTAAATCGGCGACTTTTATTTAGCTTCAAGCTTCTGAACACCTTCTATCCATTTTCGAGAACACGATACACAAAGTGGCGCATCCCTAGGCATGGTGGTATCTGACATCCGTCAGATGGCGTCAGAAAGCTTGACTCCCGCCTATCGCGGAGCGAGCCTCCAGTAGCACCAAAATCAGCTGATTATTTGCGATCTGAAGTTCGTGGTGTACTGACACATCTGGTCACTTTGTATAGTGTTACAAACTCCAAGCACCGGTGAACACTTCCACCTTCACAAGGGCAACAATCTGAATCTCAACCACTAAGACCTGTCTCTGGCTGCAGTCAACTGATTTCAAATACTTGTTTATTGAACACGACTACGTTACCTACTAGGCAGATCTGACTAGTCTACTTGCTCGGTGTTTTGGCAGCTACACCTGGTATAGGCGGGTTTACGGAAAGAATCCTACTTCGCATCAGCTGTTCCTTGGTTGTTATGAACGCTTACCTTTGCCACACGGAACGTACTTGTAAACGCTTGAAGCGCAAGGGGTCTACTCCTTCTAGGCGAGAACTGCTACGTGACTGTAAGTGTAAAGTATCAAGGGTTGCGGACAGACGCAGTATCGATAGCAAGGGGCTGTTAGAACCACAGGAAGTAACAGTTGCCAGAATATTGAAGGGCTAAGATAGATTGAATTGTAAGCGACCAAGCGTTGGAGGTTTCGTTGGCGCCCGGAGCGTCCTAATGATTTCGGTGAAGACATCTAGGGTGAGACATCTACGATTACGGGCTTGCTACTGCGTTCGCAATTCTTGAGGATGCCGCGTCCCTATAAAGGGGCTTCCTTCTGCACAGATCTCTTATCTACAACTACGACCAGCCCCATCGGATCATCCATACCTAACACTTTATCATCCAATTTCTTCCAAATACCTAAGATCAACACCACAGGATGGAGCTACTCACACTTATCTTGAGTAGTGCTCTGTTCACTGCAGTTGTACTCTTCCAATTGTCATTCTTGAGTCGCGCACCGAAGCCCTTGGCTTGGTGCCTCCCATCCAGTCTCTACAGGGTCGGCAGTCTCCACACTCTAGCTACGGCATGGTTAAGACGCATCGTCTACGGAGCCGTGGTTGCACCGATATATCAGCCCAGTCCAAACGACAAGAAAGAAAGTACGGTCCAAAAGATCATAGCATTGGCGGAACACCATGAGATAGCAGAGCTATTGAGTGATATGATTCAGAAAGACGGGGCAAATTCTTGGCCACCGAACACCAATCACGCACATACGACCTGGCCTACGCCTCTACAGCCGTACAAAGAGATATATCTGGAACTCGCACCCCTCCTTCCCCAAGCGACCCCTTCTCTAAATGACGAAGTCAACATCTTACGTATAGAGAATTTCCGACAGCGATTCCGCGATTTACTCAATGCCCGCGTTGATCTCGTCGAAGTTGCAAAGGTAAGGAGAGTAGCAATGATTATACAGATGGCTAACTTGCTAACGAAGCTGTTAGCTTTTCCAAGCAACTGATGCGGGATGTTGGGTTGACTTTACCCGCGATACATACAATGCCTTTTACTGCTGTGTTGCCGTCAGCCGACATGCGTATAGATGGGCCACCATACCCATCGTCAAAGTCGCTCAACGGGAGAGAGAAGTTGACTTGCCTATCGAATTGGTTGAACCTTGGATCGCAATGCAGGGACACTTCGGTTGTGCGTCTGACGCAGGGAATAATAGTACGTTGCCTAGTTGCTATAAGTTCCTTGCTACAGCAAAGCTGACTGAACCGTCTAGCAAGCAACGTTTTGCTCAATTTCGATCGCAGGGGCACCTACATACACAGGATCAACACAGGGATGGAGCTGCAAGTGACATCCAGCGAAGAGACTTTCTTCCGCATCTTCTACGACCTCGAAGTCTTCGGTGTGCCCGTCTACTACGACATGGCACGATCGATCATCACCTTCACACGTGGTGACAACGCAGCTTGCGCCATCCATGTTGCAAATATTGCATCACAGATGCGACTTGTACTCGGCACCTACATGGACAATCTGCATGATAAGATGATTGCACATTCTGTCTGGCTGTCAAAGGTGCAGGGCTTCCAGGCGTGGGGCATTGGCCATTACGATAAGGAAACAGACAAGTGGGAGACGTTCGATGGGCTTAGCGGTAACCAGGTACTGCTATTCCAGGCGCTAGATGCGTTTTTGGGAATTGAACAATATCTTGCGCCAAGAGACATGGAAAGGAACTTGCCAAAGAGGCAGAGAGAAGTATGCTATGCTTTCAGAAAACACTCATTTCGTCGATCACTCGGCCAGGCAGATATGCATGACAAGAATATCGTGGAAATAGTGCGGAGTTTTGAGGAGATCCTGAGACGGCTGAGAGTAAGTACTTCACATCGAAACCTGAACTCGGACAATACTGATGCAAGGTGCAGTTGTTCCGCGCAGCGCATCGTACGAGATCGAAAGCCTATCTATCTCAGCCTGCGCCTGAACGGATGCCTATGACAGCTGGAAAGTCGTTACTAGATCCAAGTCTTGATGCCAGTCTGGCGTTTCTCGACGGCTTCATGGTTCGACGGCTGGCGCAGACGGTATAGACAGAGAAGGCTTCAAACATAGGGTTCTTGGAATGTGGGATTTGTGGGATTTGAATAGATGGTAGATGGGGTCATGGATATGCTAGTCGTCTGGAATCGGAGACATGTAAGAAGCGATGTCGAGGTTCATGGTACCGCTCGTGATGACCAATTCGTATAAAGAAGCCGCTAGTCTTCACCTCGGCAAGTGCAACCCAACCACAACCCTCGCGATGCGCGTTCTCCGTCACACTCCTATGACACTGCGGAAGTGATGATGGCAAGCACGAACGCCATGGTCATGATGCTCCGGACGCGCGGGTAGTACAGTATGTAAGCACCGAAGCCATGTGGCATGCGGGTGGCTGTGGCGGTTAGCGCATGTGCCATTGCATCTGGGCATCTGCAGGGTTCACGTCCAACAATGCAAGGCGCGCCTCCGCAGCGCAACGCTCAAAGTCTTGTATCGCCATGTCCTAGGTCCTGATCAGAATCCACGGGCTACCACGTGCACCATGGCCAACGAAACGCCCCCACAAACCCCGGCTGAGCGCCGCTTCCTGCGGCCCAGTGTAAGTCGCGTCTCCGGGCAGTAATGCAGGCGATGAGCTCACCATGAGATACAGCTACGCAGCGCGACCATGGTCCAACCCAAGACGGGCGAACGCGTCAAGAAAGCCTTTACTCTGCGGCGATCCCAACACCGACCCTCCGAATCCTCCGAGTTTCTGCTTGCGCCGGGCCAATACGATGAACAGCGGCACCGGGACATGGGAAGAGTCGAACTGGCCAGAGTCATAGTCCGAAACAAATGTCGACAAGCCTACGCGTATGCGACAAGTGATACTGGAATCGGCATATTCAAATGCTCGCTGGCTTATGTTCTCGGGTCCTTGGCCACCTTCGTTCCAGCCATTGCAGGACTGCTGGGCAAGAACGATGGAAAGCACATAGTCGCCACCATTACTGTCTATTTCCATCCAGCCCGCTCAGCTGGTAGCATGATCGAGGCAGTCATCTTGGCCTTTGCCGCTTTCATGTATGCCGCCTTCGTTTCCTTTTCAAGCATGGCCGTGTCTGCATACTTTGGAAACCATGACTTGTTAGTACTAGGCCATGTCATAGTGCTCGTTGTCTTCTGTGGAGGAGGCCTGGGACTTGTTGGATGGACAAAACAAAAGCTGGGCAATCCTCTCGTCAACGTGGCTTGCTCCTTGACTTCACTCGCCCTCATCACCATCCTGACCAAAGAGGGCGCTGTTCAGGCAGCCAAGTTCTCCTACGTCAAGGTCTGGCAAGTCTTGAAGATGATAATTCTGGGCTGTTCCGCCTCAGCCCTAGTGTCGCTCCTCGTGCAGCCAAAGTCGGCGCGCAACGAATTCCGCGACACTTTCATCAAGTCGACCGATGCTATGGCCGAGATGCTCAACGGCATTACCCTCAGCTTCCTTTCCGGTGCTGAATCAGACCTCAAAAGCGATTCTTATGTCGAGGCCTCCAAGAAGAGCCAGGCCACATTCAAGACTCTTGTAAAGAACTTGGGAGAAGCCAAGTTTGAACATTACGCTCTAGGTACTGAGGAGGAGTACAAGATCAACGCCAAGCTTGTTAAATGTCTGGAAAAGCTAATGCAGAGCTGTGGAGGACTGCGGAGTGCTGCTGAGACTCAGTTTACATTATTGGCGCAGTCAGAGTCGGAACCAAATGGGGCGTCGCATCAGCCTATACCTGCCAACGGAACCGTTACCTCGTCAATATTTTCCGAGCATACCATGTCACTAAGCCCGCCGCAACTATCTCCCAGTCTCAGCCATACCGAGAGGCGCACTAGCATCCTCGCCTCCATCGATGAGCTGCCCGAGAGTTCTGCTGAAGCATCCGCATACCCCTCAGCAGCTGGATCCGACGACGAGTCTACTCCGACCAAGAAGAAGTCTGGCCAAGTCACGAATCTTTTGCAGTCGAACCTTACGCCTGCTGACATGTTCTCTGTGTTTATTGCTCAATTGGGGCCACCAATGGTATGTTCAGAAAGTCCAGTCTGCTACCTGTACTAACCTCAATAGAAATCTTTAGCATACACGTTACGCGAGGTCCTCTCTGAACTACCTTTCGGACCCGGGCCCGAGTACAACATGGCTATCAACGAACACTTTCGTCACAGTCTGGTCGACGCGAAAGCACTGTTTTCAAACGCACGACGAGAAGCTCTTTCGGCTGTCTACAAGAACAAGATACCAATCAGGGCCAGCTCCGCAGAGGTCGCAGCCGACTTTGAAGAGGTTGCCGCAAGTTGTGGGTACTTCAGTTCGTCGTTGTTGGATTTCGCCGAAGATATGGTCACGTTTCTTGATATTCTTGAAGAGTTAAAAGGAAACGTCAATCGCTATCCGCGACAAAGAACCTACAATTGGCTAAAATTCTGGCAACGTGGGCGCAACAAGACTACATCCGGAGATGGCTCGGAAGAGTCCAGTCTTGTTGATGAAACAGAAGCCCAGACACCTGGAGGCTCGCATGAGATTCATAATCCCATCTACCGGAAGTCGACGCGGGGCGATCCATACAAGTCAGAGAATGAGCAGCCGCTGTCATACCGCATATGGACTTCATTGGCCGTCTTTAGGAGAGACGACCTGAAATTCGCTGTCAAGGTTGGTATAGGCGCAGTCCTCTACGCCATGTGGTCATTCATCCAATCGACCCGGGGATTCTACGGTCATTGGCGTGGAGAGTGGGGCCTGTTGTCGTACATGTTGGTTTGTTCGATGACTATTGGTGCCTCCAACACCACTGGTTTCCAACGTTTTGCTGGTACATGTCTTGGGGCTGTACTTGCCATCGCCGCATGGATTGCAGCTGATGACCATGCTTTCGTTCTGGGGTTCTTCGGTTGGCTCATCTCTCTGTTCTGCTTTTACATCATTGTGGGCAAGGGCAAAGGGCCTATGGGTCGCTTCATCCTGTTGACTTACAACCTTTCTGCACTCTACGCATACTCTCTGTCTGTCAAAGACGAGGAAGACGACGACGACGAGGGCGGTATCTCGCCTGAGATATGGGAGATTGTGCTTCATCGTGTGGTCGCTGTGATGGCTGGTTGTCTATGGGGCATCATCGTGACGAGGGTCATCTGGCCCATCTCAGCACGTCGCAAAGTCAAGAAGGGCACATCTTTGCTATGGCTCAAGATGGGGTTGATTTGGAAGCGTGGCCCTCTGAAGACCTTACTTGAATCCAACGAGAACTCGAGTCGGACGTACTCGTACATGTCCGAACGCGAAGAACTGGAGCTTCGTCGATATCTATCTCATCTGGATACACTGCGTGCATCAGCTGCTGCCGAATTTGAGCTCAAGGGCCCTTTCCCGGACAAAAGCTTCAAGATCATTCTAGGCGCGACTAGCCGTATATTGGATAGTTTCCATGCTATGAACGTCGTGATTCTGAAAGACTTGAAGGCATCTGAAGGCGAGAAAGAGGCTTTGAGGTATACCAAAAAAGAATGGATGGATCTGAGTTGGCGCATCAGTCATTTGTTTTCAGGTAAGCAACATCCATCAAGCTGTACAAAGCGCACCTACTAACACGCAATAGTCATGGCTTCTTCAATGAAGCTAGCTTATCCACTCAACGATGTACTGCCCAATGTCGAACACACGCGCGATCGATTGTTAGCAAAGGTCTTTGAGTTCCGACAGAGCGGACTGGGCAAGGTCATCGCCAACGATGAAGACTACGAGTTGTTGTATGCGTATGCGCTGGTGACTGGGCAGCTCGCGCATGATCTCAATATAATTGGGCAAGAGATCGAAAAGCTATACGGCGTGCTGAGTGAGGAGGATCTGAAACTACAGTAGATACACGCAATGCACAGAAGTGATGACTCTACACGGCTTGGCTACATTTCTTACGTTCTTTGCTACCAGGCAAGACTGGTTCGCTCAACAATAGTGTGTTCAAAGCATGTCATTGTGTAAGCTACTGGTATATACACTAAATATGCGCTCCCTTTGAGTGCCTGATACACGAACAAACCGAAATGTTACGTTGAAAACACGCCTTGGTAAACTACGCACTTTCTCTAATTGTCGAGAGGGTATCTGTCCAAGAACTTGAATGTGCGAAGACCCTCAGATAGCTGATCTACGACTGTAGACATGTCGCTTGAACTGTAGACGCCGGGAGTAGATGCTTCGATAGCGGCCGCGCTGAAAGCAGTGTTGTTGCTGGAACCGAGCATAGCGATGGGCTTACCGAAGCGGTATCCATCTTGGAGAATCTGGAGTGGGCGACCGGCAGGGTAGAGAGTCGAACGGGCGTTACTGGTCGCGTTGCGGGGCGAAGCAGTTGAGTTGGAGTTGGCCAGGCTGGCGGCGGGTGCGAAGAGGCTCTCTGCGCTACCATCGACGATGATAGCATCAAACTGGATGGCGGATGTAGCCGAGTAGGTTTGATCGATATCGCTGCCAAGATGCTCGGCTACAACAGTCATTCCAACCTTGAGGTCAGCAAGAGCTGACTTCATGGCCTGTGCGTTTTCGCCAGAGGAGGATGCAGTAGTAAGGTAGCCGACCTTTAGGCCATCCAGCTTGAGCAATGGCTCACCAGAAGCGCTAACTCCAATAGTCTTGTTGTCATGGTAGTAAGTGTCATCTGCTTCCGGCGCGGTCATACCCAGCGCTTCTGCCACCCTTACGGCGATGTCGTGAGAGATGCGGTTGAGCTGGATAAGCACGTTGTTCTTGACAACATCGCTCTTCAGCTGCGAGGTCTCGAATCTCATGGCGTTGACCACGAATTGTTGCTCGACAGGCAGAAGCGAGTTGAAGAACAGGCGAGGCTGGCTCCAGACATCCGCGAATGTGCTGGACACGGATCGGACAATCTTTCCACTTGTGGAGCGGCTGGGGGCTGTGAAGAAGCCACGTCCGCTAGTTTGGTTTGCCTGTCGCGGAGATCCTTCGTTCAACGTGTTTGGAGAGTAGGCTGCCGTGTTGAGAGGTATGTACATCTGGCCAGCGCCATCCCTTTCGTTGTTATGCACAGGTACGCGAGGCTGGTTGATAGGAATTTGCTAATGTGAGGATCGAAGTTAGTCTTTGTCTCACGTTCATTTCGTAGAATCAAAACGAACCTCGAAGTTAGGGCCACCCATATTGCGGTTCAGCTGCGTATCAAGGTAAGAGAACATTCTTCCTTGAAGCAGAGGGTCTTCCGTCAGATCAATTCCGCGAACTATCAGGGTTAGCATATGCCTACTCTGCATGTTGTACAGTCACAATACCTAAGTGTCCAGGCTGGAACATGATTTGCTCTGTCTCAGCAAAGTAGTTGCGTGGGTTCCGGTTCAAGGTCAACTTTCCGAGCGGAGTGAAGGGCACGATATCCTCAGGTACAATCTTGGTAGGATCTAGAAGATCGAAGCCAAATCGAAGCTGATCCTCTTCTTCCATAATTTGAGCCTCGAACACCCACTCTGGGAAAAATCCTTGCTGGATACTGTCGAACAGATCTTGGCGGTGGAAATCGGCGTTCATGCCTGCGGTCAATTGCGCTTCTTCCCACAGCAAAGAAGCTTTGCCTTGTAGCGACCTGAAGCGAAACTTTACGAGCTTGGATTTGCCTTGGTCGGTCACGAAGCGGAAGGTGTGAACTCCCCACCCATCGGTATGCCTGTAAGACCTGATGGTACCGTGTCCTGACATTGCCCACAGAAGTGTGTGCATGGAACTGGGCTGTTGGGAAAAGAAGTCCCAAGCGGAGTCATGCGCAGTGGCCGCTGTAAAGAAGAAGCCAACACATTAGTTTACGTTCCACATGCATTTCGTGCATTCGCAACATACCTTGTGGGATCTCAGAATCTGGTTTTGGCTTGACGGCATGGATCAGATCGGGAAATTTGATTGCATCTTGGATGAAGAAGACCGGAATATTGTTTCCAACAATATCTATCAACAGGTATGGTTAGAAGGAGAACACAGCCAAGAAGAACTCTGATGATAAGAACTCGTAACGTACCGAAGTTTCCCTCGTCAGTGTACCACCTAACAGCGAATCCATGCACATCTCGCACTGTGTCAGCACTGCCTCTTGATCCGGCAACAGTGGAGAATCGCATGAAGATCGGTGTCTCCTTTCCTGACGAGCCCAAGAAAGATGCGCCAGTGATGTTTGAGTAATCGCCATAAGAAACAAAGGTGCCGTGGGCTCCGGCTCCTCTTGCGTGGACAGCACGCTCCGGAACGCGCTCGTGGTCGAAATGCATGATCTGTAAAGATATGAAGTTAGTTGAAATCTCATCAGTATTGTGTCTTCCAAGAACTCACCTTTCTTCGGAATGCTTGGTCCTCCAGAAGTGTTGGACCACGCTCGCCAGCTGAGAGACTCTCTTGCTCCTCGATTGGACCACCGACCGGGTTTGTCATGTACACATCGCTGTCGTCAACCTCGTAGCGGCCCATGAAATCGTCAGTCGACGCAGCATTGTCATCTCGGCGAACGACAGCGTCACCATCCATGTAAGGGCATCCTGCCTGAGCAATATGCAGCAAGGCAGTAGCAGCCGTCAGGATCTGAACTCGCACCATCTTGAAGTAGACAGAGATTCTGGAAGACGTGAGCTACAGAAGAGAGCGGACAGCTGTGGATTTATACCGCCTCACAACGTCAACAGCAACGGCAACAGAGCGGTACGACCTTGTAGCGTGCACATCTCGACATGGATGCTAGTTTAGACATCATCGCTCCACAGTCCTGAATTATCGAATAGCACGACTTGTATTGGACAAACCGAACGATCATCGCGCGTTTGGGAAATTCCCGGATTAACGGTACCCACTTACGGCGAGTCTATTCGAGGCACTTGTATGGATGCCAAGGGTTTGGAGGCTGGGACGTTGACCTGCATATACATGATGCACGCGTAATTCCACAACTGGGCAGAACGCCGCCTTGCAGGCAGGATGTGATGAAGATGGGCGTAATTTCTCGATCTCGTCGACTGCCGTACATCGTTACGCCGGTATCACGCCGAGTTTTCCTCAGATTGATCAGCGTGTTTGTGATCCTGGTGGTTCAACAGCCGAAGACTCAAGCCGCGAGACTAAACTGCCAGCTTTTTAGGTTGGATTGACTCGCTAATAGAATAGCAGTTGCGATCTCTTCGTTGATGATGATAGTCACGTCAGGTCACCGTGCCACTTAGCCAAGAAAAAAAGCGGAGCTAATCCTTGGAATCCGGGTGAGGTTGTCGAGTTGAGCAGTAATTTCTCGGCATCTTCAACAGCTTGTTGCCAAATGCATTCCTGCACTGTGCTGTGCTGAGATCGTTGCGTTCTGATCCACGGATAGGCCAAAATGCGCCGTTGGACACAGAAACATCCGATAATGACGCGGCAGCCGGCTTGGCACTGTTCACTTCTCCAGGGTCCCGCTCCCGAAGTTGATCTTTTCTCGGTGCTTATGAAATGCTCATGGTCCAGCCGCCCCCGGATTGGCGTGATTGGTAAGTCGAAACCGGCCATTTCGCCAAGTCTTCGACTGTTAACAACGCTACCAGGTAAGCCTGAATAGCGCAAAGAATAGTAGCCTGCTATATGCAAAGCGTTCGTTCGCTGCACATTGCATGGCTAAGTTCGGGGCTGGGTACCGGCAGTCAGCGCATAGCTCGAGAGGAGCTTGTCGCGCCCGAATGTTGTAGTATTCCAGCCTGATCCTAAGGACATATGTGGTTACATGGACCATGCTGTTTCGTTTCATGAGGCCACAAAACTACAATAGCTGTTAGGCTGTGATGGATCAAGAATGCGTGAGGGCACAACAGACGCTGATCATACCCATGTATTAGCTTTAGCGGTGAGCATCTAACCAGCTGATGGGGAGTGAGATGGTAGCTGTAGGTAAAACAGATTGGGTCCGCGGAGGAAGGTCGATAAGGGCACCCATAAGTGCATAAAGGAACAAAAGGATGGTCATCTTAGGTGACACCGGACATCCTCGTCGCAGTCTGGATCGTTCCTTGAGGATCACCCCTGACGCAGCGGGAAGGTCGTACCGACAAGATAAGATGCGAAGCGCCCTTGGAAAGCCAAGTGTTTTTCTTTAGACATATCACACTTGGCCACCTCCACGTGTGTTAAGGCAAGTTGCCCACAACAATGTCCTGCCGTTTGGATACAAGCGCGCATATGTACTACTTGTTCAGATGTGGCTGACACAGAGTGATGTAAGTGCGCGTTCCGGTACTGTGGATCCATGCAGCCTTTTGTATCGCAGCTAGAGAAATCGAGTATAATATATTTTTCTGAGATTTGTCAAATGGCTGCGCTCTTTTGAATCGCGTACTTACATGGTATTGCAACAAGCCAACAAATACGCCCGTGAGTGAGCCTGGAGGTATTCAGTACGACTTTTGTTCGCAATGACGAGCGCGAACATAAAGCCAGAAGCACCTTACAGAGCCCCTGACTGACGGCTACACTTCGAGCGTCCATGTATACTGTATAAGAAAGTGGCTTACCAGTGAGTATCCTCTGCGGTTACCTAGAAACGATACATGCTCGAACGCTACTGACTAGTAGTGTTGACAATATCGCAAGATCTATAGGCCTTGTGCAGCAAAGCTCGTCAAACATAGGCTTTGTGGTTTCGAGGCGTGGCAGCACATTGGATGTTGTTAAGGAGGCAAAGGGACTACTAGGCTGTGTCGTGATGATCTTGTTGGAGCTAGAATACTCAGGATTAGGGGCTGTATCACAGACAACAGCATCTCAGAAGCTTTCTCTTGTTACACCTGCTTTGACAGTCGCGGAGGTGAAGGTGCTACATGGCCTAGGCTCGTACACTAGCTTGCGGATATGCCGTCCGGTCGAATGAGTACGATAGAGATGGAAGGCGCATAGGATAACAGAGACGAAGGAGAGTTCGAGTCTTCATCACATGGAACTTTGACATTAGTGGTCATAGTTTGACAATAGAAGACGGATGCCTCGGCAGTGATGGCTGTGTGACTAGCTGTAGATGCCATGTTCGCGATGCGCAGCTTCCGGGCCACGCCTATGACATCACCGGGTCTTGCACGACTTCCCCAGGCTGACCCCCGCTTCCCAAAACTCAAGCAACAGCTGTTTACCGCCCGATACGTAAATCCTGGAAACTTCGCAATCGGTCTTGCTATACCCACGGAAAGGTATATTCCCACATGGCTCTATGTCAACACACAGATCGCGTCGCGACACGCCTGCTCTTCCGGCGCATAACCTAGTAGTGCTAACAACTCACGAGTATAGACCTACACAAACACCAAAGCAACAGTTACCCACACGATGTAAGTCAGTCCTCGAGTCGTTTACCTTCAGTATCACAATGCGCATCACGCTTGTCTCACTCTTATTGTCTTCCACTTCAGCAGTCGAACGATGGTGTTGTAGTGTCTTGCACATTCTCTTGCTATGCAAGGAATCCGCGCGCATGACCCCAAATATTCGCTAATCACTTCTTGAAAATCCAGGAATCGGTCACTCTCAGTCCGCTCGAAGAAGGGCAGCGGTAGCGGCAGTGGGGAAAAGTCCGCGCCCAAGCACCGTTTCACAATGGCTTCCCTAAGAGGTACGCAGCAGCCGGAGCTTTCGAAGAAACTGTTCAAGATCATCAAATCTGAAAACCATGCGATTGGCGCCTACGAGGCTGCGGCACGTGAACGGGTTGGCATTGCTCAGCAGCTCTCGGAATGGGGTGAGGCCACAGAGGACGAGACGATCTCGGAGATTTCAGATAAGCTCGGAGTGCTGCTCGCAGAGATTGCCGAGCAAGAGGATATCTATGCACAAGCGTTGGAGGAATACCGAGGTGTCTTGAAGCAGATTCGCAACACAGAAAGCTCAGTGCAGCCGAGCCGAGACCACAAAACCAAGGTACGGCCTCTCGCTCTAGCCAGCGACTTCGTACTAACCAGACAACAGGTGTCGGATGAGATCGCCAAGTTGAAATACAAAGAACCTCAGAGTACTAAGATTGTCCAGCTCGAACAGGAGCTCGTACGCGCGGAGGCACAGAGCCTGGTTGCCGAAGCGCAACTCAGCAACATTGTACAGCAGCTCCACGAAGACTGTTATCACCCGCTGACCATTTCAGACTCGTCAGAAGTTCAAGGAGGCATACGACCACCACTTCGCAGCCACTATCGAACGTGCTGAGAAGCAAATCATCCTAGCCAAGCACGCTCGTCGTCTCTTGAACCTTGTCGACGACACCCCCATAGTCCCCGGCGATGTACACCCTCCGTTCGCAGAGGTAGAAGCAGCACGCCAGGTACTCACCGACGCGGAAGACGATCTTCGCCATTACCAGTTGGATGTTGAGCCCATCCATTCGAATGCAGGCAACCTCGGAGTGGGTGCAATGCCGGGAGCCACCGTGCCAGGAGTTGGAGCGGGAGAAACAAGTGGAGCCCCTGTTCCAGAATCTACTACGTACGAGAGTACAGTACGAAATGAGAGTCCCGTAGGCGTGCAGTATGACAAGGCGGGTTCAGCCCCTTACCCCTTGGAGGAAGCGGATAGAGTGGAAAGGCAGCAGCAGGAGGTTCCTAGACAGGAAGTTTCCAACGTGGCTTGAAAGTGGAGTACGGTGGTGCCTGGGCATCTTTCTAGGAATCTTTCTTGCGTCCATGTGTACTAATGATTTGATACGTCTCTTGATTATGTATTCTTTCCGTAGCAAGACATGTTTCTGCAATGCCACGTATGTTCGCGGGTTTTCCGGTAGTGTCTAAGTATATCCAGCATGCATATGGGTAAGCCAAGGATATGGTATAGACGGGTGCCTGGAAGTAAGGATGGAATAGTAGTAGAGACCCAAGGGCGGCCGATGTAGGTCCCACCTCAACCCTAAAGTTGTCCGTGCACACGTTTTGGCGGGGACTCTTAGCGCGGAATGTGCCGTTCCCCAAGAAGACACATGGAGCTCTACCTCATCTCTAAATTCACGCGCAAGCCCACGAACACCGCCAATTTCTCCACCACTACTCCCCACCTCTTCCACTCACAGTCTCCGCTGCTGTAGCCATGGCGGACCGCAAGAAGAGAGATCGCTACGCAGCGGGAACAGGATACCAATTCGGCGCGAATACACAAGAGGCCGCCCAAGGAGCAGGAGTCCCCCCACCAGTAGTACCTGGCTATGGAGCTCCAGCGCCCTCATACGGTGCACCATCACCTGCTTATGGCGCTCCCTCTCCTGGATTTGGCGCCCCCGCCCCCGGCTACGGAGCGCCAGCCCAGGGCTATGGACAGCCTATGCCTCAAGATCCGAATGCTCTCAACCAGCAGTTCGGGCAGATGAACATAGGCCAGGGACAAGCAGCCCCTCAAGTTCAGCAGCCCGCCGCAGCTACTCAGCAGAACCAACTGTTCCCCTCGGACCTCATCGCGCAGCCCTTCCACGTCTCGGAACTATACAACCCTCCTCCTCCGATCAACCTGCCCTCCAACGCCGCAGCCACCCCCTCCGAGTTCGCGAACGAGTCGAGTAAATACCTGCGATGTACGCTCAACACTATCCCTACCAACCACTCGCTGCTCAAGAAGAGCAAACTTCCATTCGCGCTCATCATAAGCCCGTATGCTAGTTTGCACGACTCAGAGGACCCTGTGCCAGTAGTACACGATCAGGTCATTAGCCGTTGTCGACGATGCCGCGCCTACATTAATCCGTTTGTCTCGTTCCTAGACCATGGGCACAGGTGGAGGTGCAACATGTGCAACCTGACCAACGATGTCCCCCAAGCATTCGATTGGGATGCAGCACAGCAGAAGAGCGTCGACCGCTGGCAGAGACCCGAGCTGAACTACGCAGTGACCGAGTTCGTTGCACCCCAGGAATACATGGTCCGCCCTCCACAGCCTCTGTGCTACTACATTCTCCTGGACTGTACCCAGGGAGCAGTGAACAGCGGACTTCTCGCTGTCGTCTCCAGGGTCATCAAGGAGTCCCTCGGCCGGATACCAAATGCAGACGGTCGGACACGCATCGGATTCATGGTGAGTTTTGGGCACAAAGAACACAAGTCACCTGTATACTGACTCGAAATAGGCCGTCGACAATGGGCTACATTTCTTTGGTATCCCTCCAGACAACAGCGAATCTAATGAACCCCAACAACTCGTGGTTTCCGATCTAGATGAGCCCTACCTTCCCATGCCCTCGGACCTTCTGGTCAGCCTCAGCCAATGCCGCAACAACATCGAGACCTTCCTTGACCGCCTTCCGACCATGTTCCAGAACACACACGTCCCTGGATTTGCGCTAGGCTCAGCTCTCCGATCCGCACATAAGCTCATTTCCCCGCTTGGTGGAAAGTTGACCGTCATTGCCGCGTCGCTGCCCAATGTTGGCCATGCAGCATTGAGCCCCCGAGAAGACAAATCATTATTGGGAACCGGCAAAGAAGGCAGTTTGTTGCAGCCTGCAAACAACTGGTACAAGTCGTTCGCCGTAGAATGCTCCAAGAACCAGGTTTCAGTGGACATGTTCCTGTTCTCCTCACAGTACCAGGATGTCGCAACGCTAAGCAACCTTCCGCGATTCACCGCCGGTCAGACATACTTTTACCCAGGATGGAATGCTGCAAGACAAGAGGATGTTGTCAAGATTGCAACTGAGTTGGCTGACTACTTATCTGCTGAGATTGGTCTAGAGGCTGTGCTCCGTGTGCGTGCTACCACCGGGTTGAGAATGTCCGCATTCTACGGAAACTTCTTCAACCGCTCGTCTGATCTCTGTGCCTTCCCGGCATACCCCAGAGACCAAGCTGTTGTAATCGAAGTCGCTATTGACGAGACAATCTCCAAGCCATTCGCCTGTCTACAGGCTGCTGTGCTCCATACTACTTCAAGTGGCCAGCGTCGTATCAGAGTTTTGACTCTTGCGGTGCCAACAACTGAGAGTCTAGCATCGGTCTATGCTTCAGCAGACGCACAAGCGATCACCACCTATTTCAGTCATAAGGCGGTTGAGCGAGCATTATCGAGTGGTCTTGATGCGGCGCGAGACGCATTGCAGGCCAAGGTCATTGAGATTCTGTCAACCTACAGGAAGGAGTTGGCAGGTGGAAGTATGGGCGGTGGTGGTCTGCAGCTACCACAAAACCTGCGCGCTCTCCCCATATTGTTCCTTGGTCTTATCAAGAACGTTGGTCTTCGTAAGAGCGCTCAGATTCCAAGCGATCTTCGATCAGCTGCTCTCGATCTCCTTTCTACACTACCACTGCGACGGCTTACGCAGTACATTTACCCATCTTTCTACTCTCTTCACGACATGCCTGATGACGCTGGTGTACCGGAGCCTGCTACTGGTCAGATTACAATGCCACCCGCGTTGAACCTCTCTAGTGCAGCTATCGTCCCGTACGGCTTGTACCTCCTGGACGACGGTGTCAACCAATTCTTGTAAGTGCATATGCACATTCGCTGTTGATGCAGACTAACGTAGCTAGATGGATCGGCCGCGATGCTGTTCCAGCACTCCTGAACGATGTGTTTGGCGTCGAAGACCGTACACAACTGAAGCAGGGCAAGGCTTCATTGCCTCTCCTTGACAATGAATACTCGGAACGAGTTCGAGCCGGTAAGCCATTTTTACTGATGATGTAGACCGTTCAAACTGCTGACATGAGATAGTTGTGGAGAAGTCGAGGGACCACAAGTCGAAGGGCGTGGGTTCTATCACTCTGCCTACCCTGTATATCATCAAGGAAGATGGCGACCCAAGCCTCAAGCTATGGGCGCAAACACTACTCGTCGAAGACCGCGCAGACCAAGGAGAGAGTATCGTTCAGTGGATCAGCAAACTCCGGGAAAAGGTATACCAATGAGTCAGCTGCGTACTCGGAGACAACACTGACGTCTCACTTAGGTTGTGCAGTAAGCACCGACTACGTATGTGGGCACGTGTTGTTTAGGCGGTGTGGATTGAGCGAGTTGATTCCGCAGCATTGGCGTAAGATACGAAGAAGAAATCATCATTGCTTGGGGCGGTAGGTTCGTGACTGGGAGTCGCACCAAGCGAGTTCATGACTTATATAACAGAGCAATGTGATACCAGCTTTCATCATATCGTTCTTTGTCGCCTCGGCTCAGTGCTCGTACTACGATTCGTGCGGCGAGGGTGCTGCCCGTCATTGCTACACGACATGAATTGCATGGCAATGGAACATAGCGCTAGGCTGCCGTGCGAGTATTGGCGAGGGGTGAATGTGAACTTGAGGGTCGATATCTACTCCAAGTCAACCCCGTGCTGGTGTATACAGCTAGGACGACTGCTGCCATTCGTAATCGATAGGACGTACCTCGGTACTAGCGCACGGGCTATCACGGTCCGTCCTGGCTGCTGGTGGCAGGTACCCATCGTTAGCTCGCGATTGAACGCGAGTAATGACCCCTCAACACCAGTGCCGCCATCGCCATCGCCACCGCTGCTGGCGGCGCATGCTTCCAGACATCTGGTCCGCCCGCTAATACAAGCCCGCATAGTTCGGTAAAGCTACTATTCTGGACACTGCGCTTCGCGTGTACACTATGTGTTTCACCATGCTACCAGCTGCAGCAACATGGAAGACAAGTATTTTCTTTCGAGGTAACGCACGCTCCTCGTGTGGATATGCACCTAAGCAACGTGTCAATAGCGATGCTGCATCTCACCTAGGCACCAGAAATGCAATCCTGGTAGTGCGAGTATACGAGACGAGCAAAGTATGGTACGGACCACGCAAAGAAGTGCAGATGACCACGATATCCGCGATCCATGGTATCATCCCGCGTGTGTCCGTCATGTTCCACCGAATCATATTTTGCTTGCCAGGAACTAGTCGGTCCACTGGGTCCTTCGCCTTTCTGTCAGCGTTTCCGAGCTATGGACTGTGATGGCAAACAACTGTCACGCACCGCCTACAGCCCAACGCCATGGGACAGACCATGTTCGCTGACCGCCTCGTTCAATAGCCTCTGGCGCCGTTTGCGCTGCAAGACGCAAAATTTGAGTCGCTGGAGTCCGGCAGAACCACGGATGCTAGTCTTTCGCTTCGGCAAGGTACAAAGGTACAACACTTTTCTGTGGACCTGGTCGAGTCCCCTTGCATCGGCGCTCGCCCACGCTGCTAGCTTGCAGCGCCTATCCGTGTCAACCAATTGCTTCGGCATGGCAGTGTCAGCTTTGTCTCGAGGCAGACGCCATGCCGGCCTGCTTATGATGATCTTGTCCAGCGCGCGCAACTTGCCTCTGAGGACCGGCCAGCGGCGCCGACGCTGCTATGCCATGGTCAGCCAACATGACCCCGATTTCTCTGATAGCACGTGAAATGCGGCAGTGGGCGTTGGTAGGTGTTTCGTCATCAATAATCAACTTGCGCATGCTCAGGTCCCGGCCACAACGCACGACCTAGGCCAAGTAGTCAGGTTCTGGCGACCCGTCGCTGCAAGCATGTGCTATGGCCGTTGTTAGCGACCGGAAACAGACAGTGGTATCCAGAGAGCCCCACCGTGGGACATGGCACCGTGTTCTGCAACCATGGCCGATAATTTGACTGCAGACGAGTGCTGCTCATCAGGGCTCGCAGACGATACTGTGGGTGGTCTGACAGGCGGACGAGCATGCTCTGGGGCTGAGCTGCACCGCTTCATCATGTCTGGGTAGGCGGGCCAAGCCATCGCTAATTCCAAGGATCTGCAGGCAAGATGTGCCCTCGTCGCAAGGTGGATCGGACTCTAACCCCAGCCTTCTGCCAGGCCGTCCGTCCAGGGCGCACGACAAAGCCGCTAAGATCCCGTCCTGTGCCTTACCAACCCCTCCTCGCATGCAGTTGCGACGCAATCGTGAGTTCGTCTCTAATCCCGTTCTCCTGCGTCGACACCTGTTCCTCTGCCTTCATACCCGGGTCTTGCACCGTCTAGCTGCATCGCTACAAGAGCCGCATCCTGCCGCTTCTGCTCGAGCCCTTGTGCGCATCGAGTGTGCGTCAAAGAGGGGCCAATCTCCCCGCCACCTGAGGCAGTCCATCCTGCGCCTTATCATACCCAGCCCAAAGTCCGAGTATCCGTGGTTGCTCAACCCTCACCACTGGTCAGCCTTTGGACGACCCCAACTTGACGATTTTACGACGCAACGATCGAACTTAACCAGACCTTGTAGATTTTCTTGACTTTGCTCGCTGGGCGCTGTGTCCGGATGTTGTTGCAACGCCGCTCTCTATTCGTCATCATCTCGTTTCAGCCTTCCCACACCCGCTCCAGCAAGGAACCACCCGCAGTATCACACTGATTGCGCCGCTGGAGGCAACCCACCTGGGACCTGCGCTTGCATTAACGTCCCAGTCTTAGATCACTGGCGCTACCGTACCGTGTCCTGTCGTGTACGCCGTAAGCTATACGCGCCCCGTCACTGTAGAACGACCTGCGCAGCACGCTCACCACGACACGGAACAAGAGGTGGACATTGTAGACTGCTGGTCATCGGCCCCTCCAACATGTCTTCCTTCCAAGCAGTCAACACTACATTGTCGGTTCCAGATCCGCCACAGGGCCGCCCAGGTGACGAGACGACGCCCACTACTCCCCGACCGAATAGCAGATTCTTTGCCGAATCGAAAGCGGCCGAGGAAATCCGCACTGAAGACCCATCAGCTAAGACGCCTACACGTAACACCTTTGCGGGACTCGTTGGTCAGCGACCACTGCCTTCATCGCCTTTCACACCCGCCCGTGAGCTGAGCGAGACACCTTCCGCTTCGAACAAGAGTGAGCAGAGTAGAGAGGATTCGCATAGGTCAACAGCCTCCGGTCAAGACGTGCATATGGGCGATGGTGACGAGGACGACAAAGATGGATCGGACAACGATAGCGTGACTAGTGATTCGAACCGACCGTCCAAGAAGAAGAAGGGACAGCGCTTCTTCTGCACCGACTTTCCGCCTTGTAACCTGAGCTTCACACGAAGTGAGCACCTGGCACGACACATTCGGTACGTCTTTCATCGTGCGTTGTCCCGCATTCGCTAACATGCTGTAGTAAACACACAGGTGAACGTCCCTTCCAGTGTCACTGCTCACGACGATTTTCACGTCTCGACAACCTGCGACAGCATGCTCAAACAGTTCACGTCAACGAAGATATACCCTCTGAATCGTTAGCCGCAACGGGCACAAGGTTCCAACGGCAGATCCGGACCGACCGAGTAAGACCACCTGGAAATCGTTCTCGAGCAAACACACTAGGCAGTACCGGAGGTCACAGCAGAGGTCACAGCAGAAACCTTTCTGCATCCAGTATAACCTCTACAATATCGACAATGAGTGTGGCACAATCTCCAGACATACGGCGACGACCCCCACCTTTGGCTATGGCTAGCGATGGTGGTGCAAGTGCAAGAGCACGCTTGTCGCTCAACACTATGAATGCATATGACCCACCCATGATGGGTAGTCCTGGGCCCGTGGAGTACGATACACAGTCCAACGCGCCTACAACGCCTACTTCTGCGACATTCTCTACAGTTACTGGTAGCCCCGCTCGCTTCGGGTCTGCTATGCAGTCTCCTGTATCAAGTTCATCAAGGCCAGTCTCATGGGCTGGACCACCGCCTCCGGGACGCCGCCAATCTATCTCTTCCAGTGGCAATCCTTTCTCCGGTGCACCAGGACAGGCTCCTCCTACCTACATTACGCCTCTACAATCGACTGCTGCCCCTGCCTACTCAGCACAAAGCAGCGCATATGCAAGCCCTACAGCGTCCCAATTTCCAGAATCAAGGAGAGACTCGAATGCGGAGGCGGACTGGAGGCGACGAACTTGGCACCCAGGAGTTTATACTGGTCCTCGACCAGCGACTAGTGGACTTGGATACCACCAGACACCGGATGCTCCACGCCCTCTATACACCTCACAGCCTGCTGCTTCTCAGACCACCAGACTCCCAGGGATCGAAAGCTTCGACCATGCTCCGCCTCCGCCTCCGCTACCTCGGCGTCAGCCAAGTCCGATGCAAATTGATGCTCCGGCACGTCCGCTTACTTATCACGCGCCAATGGAGCACACGTCCAATAGAGGTCACCACAAACGAACGAGCATTTCATGGGAAATCGACCGTCTGAACATTGCTAGTCCAGGTTCTCAAAGTAATCAGTGGTCACAACAATACCCTGGCAGCGCAGGCCGAGCAAACGCTGCACGACCCACGACAGCCCCTCATGGCTACTTCAGTCGTCAACCCTCCAATGTTCAGCCTATTCAGATTCCTTCAATTAACGCCTCGCCCAGAACCTCGCAGGAACAGCCAGTGACACCTCGAAAGAACAAGCGACAAGCCTGGTACAATGGACCTGTCAGTCAGCCGCAAAGAGCTATGCAGAGAACGTCACCCGAGGACTCCAGTAGCAGCGAAGGTGTGCCGACGCCAGGCACTATGATCGACTATCACCCTGCTATTGTCCACAGCAACGGGTATGTCGAAGCGCCAGCAGTTGTTGAAGATTACAAAACCGCGCCACCAGCGTCAATTATGGAGAGGCCCCACCCTTTGCATTCACAGCCTCCGCAACATTACCATAGCCACAGCCTTTCGAGCTCGAGCTCAAGCTATCGCCCGCAGCGCGAACCCGAGCGGGGACCCGCAACGTTCGGTCAGCCACTGCCGCAGACAGCCAACAACGACATGCGACGCTTAGAAGCGCTTGTAGCAGTGGCCACTGGCGAGCAGCAAGCCGTCGAGAACCGGTCTTAGGTCAGCTGATCGTTACCCACTGATCCACACGACACATCATCACATTACTTCAAACCTCACAAGTACGCGCAACGATGTCACGACTTGGAAGAACATAACGAATCTCCTATGATTGAACGCGAATGATATATATATCTGGTTTTGCTCCAGTAACCAATGACAAGTCTCGGTCTTTGCTTTTTCCCCTCCAGCCTTTCCTCCAGAAATTTGCCAAAGGTGGAGGCTCTTGTTGTCGCTTTCCATATGATACCAATCGGAGCTTCTGCTCGAACTTCCTTGGGATACCCCGATCCGGCATATATTTTCCTTTGAGTCATTTTCTTTGTTTGTGTGTATTTGGCTTTTTGCTGTCGTTTTAGGGATATACCAAATCGATCGTACAATAGCGGGAGTCTGGAGTTATTCTATTGGATTTTCTATTTTGTCCTGACGCCTTTCTTCTTGGTCATACTGTCATGCTGTTATTGCTGGAGAGTCACTGAAGGCGAACATTGGTAATGGCAGGAAGTCACTTTCTGGTAGAGAATCAGTAGCTGTCTTCGGACATTCTTAACATGCTTGTATATGCTTTTAACACTTGACTTTGACATGTATTTTGTATTGTGACGTTTTTGGCGAAGGTTCTGCTGATATCGAGCGTCACTCTGGACACAAGTTGAGAGATGCACGTAAATGCCTGCGCGTTTCCCCTTCCCTCTTATTCATCAACTCCTCTTCCTACAGTATCAGAATTACGAACAACGCGCTGGCTATCACGCACCTACCAAAGACTGGTACCATAAGACTCACCCTGAGAGGAGCGATCACGTACTCATGACGTATAGAAGAGAGAACCTTGTCACTGGATCAGATGTCTCTATCGGTGAGTGCTATATCCTCTAGCATAGGATCTCAACTTTAGACTGGGTGAGACCAGACATGCTGAGCAGAACCAAAACAGGCCTAGAAATAGCGCCCGGTTCAGCGTCCATATGCTTCTCGTCGAGTGAACTCGAAGTACGCCTACCTGTTTGCATCGAGGATCAGCCTCAATGACAGTCAAGACGTTAGTTGTGGTGAGCCTGTGTCATATCATACACTGTCTGTGCGTCTTAGCGTGGCTTTGGAAGTGGCGGCCCCGTTGCCGTAGAAACATGGAACGTTTCGGGCAAAGCGTGCTATTTCCCATGCAAGCCCCGCGTACCCTATGCCCAGTGTATACACATCCGATTCGAGCAACAACGACAGCGGGTAAGACTCTTGGTTCTGTACCTGGATTTTGATACCCATCTTTTTTTCTTCTTGTTTCTTTGTGATACCCCTACCGGCGCCATGGGTTCTGACGATCTTATTGACTTCGAAGTCATTGAGAATCAAAAGGAAAACATCCAGAGTCTGCCCAGCGGACGTTCTGCAAGAGCGCTCGCGCAGCTTTACACGCCACCGTTGACTTCGGCCGCTGGCCAAACTCGGTCCCCGTCGCAGATGCAAGATGAACACAGCGCAACTCGCCTCGGATTCGAGAAGGAGCTCATGGCGATTGACGACTCCGACGACCCACTCGATGTCAGTAGTACCAATACACGAACTGCATGTGGTGAGACATGTACTGACTTTGTGCACACGAATCTAGATCTACACCCGCTATGTAAAGTGGACGCTTGAAGCATACCCGTCCGCACAAAACACACCTCAGTCGCAACTTTGTCCGCTCCTCGAGCGCGCAACGAAAGCCTTCCAATCCTCACCGGAGTACAAGAACGACGCGCGCTACCTCAAGCTCTGGCTGCACTACATTCACCTCTTCTCAGACGCGCCGCGGGAGACGTTCGCCTACCTGGCGCGACACAATATTGGAGAGAACCTTGCGCTATTCTACGAAGAATTTGCGGCCTGGTTAGAAGGCGCAGGCCGCTTCACACAAGCAGAGGAGATCTACAACCTGGGCATCGACCGCGAAGCCCGCCCAGTTGAGCGCTTGATTCGCAAGTACGGAGAATTTCAGCACCGTCTCGAAAGCCGCCCTCAGGAGGCTCCCGAACCTTCAAGCCCCGCACTCCCTGCCGTTCGTCCAGCCCTTGCCGCTAAGATGGACCCTTTTGCGCTTGCGTCACCCAGTGCGCCGAGCCCGCAACCACAGAGCCAGCCGAAGACCGCTGGAGGTGCATCTCGCTCAGGAAAGCCCAAACTTGCAATCTTCTCGGACGGTGATGATGCCGCAAGACCTGGCTCGACAGGTAGCACAGAGGGGTGGGACAGCATTGGATCGCTCGCAGACCGCAAGAAGGAAAACGCGACCGAAGCACGCCCCTGGGCGGGTGAGACTCTGAAGGTTGGAAAGAAGAACACTGGCGTTCCAAAAATGTCGATTTTCAAGGATGAGGTGAGTTGATCTGCCTACATCAGCCCCTCCATATATTTACGACCACAGGACTAATTGGTGGGCGTTTGCCATGCATGTATTCAGACCAAATCGAATCCCAATGACGAAAATGTCAGCCCCCACCCATTGCGTGAATATCAACAAGCGGTCAACCCAAGGACTGGTAGACTTGAAGTAGTCTTCGTGGATCTAGAGCAGGTGTACCCTAACCATGAAGATCCTATGTCGGAGGAATACTCATTTGAAGAACTGCGAGCTAAGTACAGGGGGTGGATGGATCATGATTGGGATGCCATTCGCCGCAAAGAGCAGGAGCGGGCAAAGAAAGCAGCCGAAGAGGAAGTGGTTGCTGAACGACCAAAGACCAAGGCCGCACCTCTAGCGCCTAAGCAGGATCATGAACAGCCCCCCAAGCCGAAGACTGTACCCTTGAAAGGTAGTGTTGATGACGACATGGGTAACGACGAAAACGCGCCACCTTCACAAGCAGATGTAGACAAAGCAAGGGCAGCTAAGAAAGCCAGACGAGAGGAGCGGGCCAACAGAACTAGGAAGATCAAGGTTATGGAGGTCAAGGAAGTTCGCGGGGAGACTCAGACAAGTAAGTGATCGGCTGGACATCTGGTTGTCACTTGTACACTAACAAGGAACAGTCCAAGCCAACTTGGATTCTCCGGCGAAGCCAAAGATACGGCGAAAGAAGACTGGCCCAGAAACGACAATGACCCTCCACACCAAGGAGGCCATGGACGAAATATACGATATTTTCAACGAACCACTAAAGAACGCTGATGAGGAAGTCTCCGAGGTCCAAAGTGGTGAAGAAAGCAGTGGGGACGATGAGGATGACTATACGAGTGGAGCCGAAAGTACTGCTACTGGTCGCATATCGTGCGCTACGAGCGAATTCGGAGACGAGACAACAGTGGGAGATTTCACACTCGGCACTAGGGTTCTCAACACCGAAGAAGACGAAGATGAAGATGAAGATGAAGATGAAGATGAAGATGAAGATGAAGATGAAGATGAAGATGAAGATGAAGATGAAGATGAAGATGAAGATGAAGAAAGTGATGCCAATGATTCAGACACCAAAAGTGTCTCTGCATGGTCAGACTTCACTGAGAGCAAACACGTGCCTAAGGATCATGAAAACGATGGATCAGATGATGAGTCCGAACATTCCGAGCATTCTCATGACGACTCGTTTGATGAGTTGACACGTCCAGATGTCGACTCCGAACAGCAACGGGAATCTGATGTAGTCACCCCTACCTCACCTTCAGCACCTGCTTCACTACCTACTCGCTTTGTCCCTGTCCCACCAGAAGACTATGTTCCAGCAATGCAGCCCTATCGAGACCCGATACAGGCTGCGAACAATCGGTTGCCATTCATGACACCGATTGTTGAGAAGACGGAGTCGTCCTTGGGCATCGCCACTGCTTATGCACAGAAGGACTATTTTAGCGCTGCTACCAAGACGCCGTCAAGATCGAAAGGTACAACTGACATTCTTGAGGATGACGACGAGGATGAGACTTGCAGTAGTCCCTTTGCAGATCTTTTAAGTCAAGTTATTGACGGTTCAGGGAAAGTCGCGAAACTCGCCCTGACAGAATCGAAGCCAGTACCCAAAGAGCCCATCGCGGAACCGCAACGGAAACCGTTGGCTGCAAAGGAGGTTTCGTCTAAAGCACCAAAGGCTAGCGGTCCAATCATTAAAGACGCGCAGTGTAATCCGGTAGACGAGAACGTCCGCAAGACCATTCTGCAAGAAATCCAGCCGCCACTAGATAGCTACGACGGATACTACGCAGACACCGAAGAGAGCTACGGAAAGGGTGCTGATATACGCAAGTACACCAAGTCCGTCAAAACGAGCAAGGCAGAGAAGACTTCCACAAACCTTGCTCTCTGTCCTACTCTGCAGTTCCCGGGAACAAAGCGGACATATGCCGTCAAACGTGAACTTGGCAAAGGAGCTTTTGCGCCAGTGTATCTGGTAGAAAGCAAAGATTCCGAGGACGAGGACGACGAGAACAAACCTTCGCAGATGGGCAAGGGCGAATTCGGCCTAAAGCGGAAGGATCTGGAAGCTATCAAGATGGAGGATCCGCCAACGCCGTGGGAATTCTACATTATGCGACAAGCCAAGCGACGACTAGGCGTGTCTCGAGCGGCTGATTCGATCGTTTGCGCGTACGAGATGCACGTCTTTAAAGACGAGTGTTATCTTATGGAAGAGTATCGAGACCAAGGTACTCTTTTGGATCTCGTAAACCTCTCTCGTGGGGAAAATGGTGTCATGGACGAGCAACTTGCCATGTTCTTCACTATCGAGTTATTCCGTACGGTGGAGGCCCTTCATTCCAAGGGTGTGATACACGGTGACCTCAAGTCTGACAACATTCTCGTTCGGTTTGATGCCTTACAAAAGGACGAGCATTGGGACTCGGAGTACAAGCGCGACGGGCGTGATGGCTGGTCTGCGAAGGGTGTCTCGCTGATCGATTTCGGCCGTGGCATTGACATGAAGGCCTTCAAGCCAGATGTACAGTTCATCGCAGACTGGCCTACTACAGAAGCCGACTGTGCAGAGATGCGCGAACTCCGTCCTTGGACCTACCAGATCGACTATCACGGGCTTGCTGGCATAGTCCACAATCTGCTATTTGGCAAGTATATCTCTACGATAGCTGAGCGCGGCGCAACTCTCGGTGCTGGCGCGACCAAAACGTACAAGATCAAGGAGAGCTTGAAGCGATACTGGCAGACGGAGATTTGGCACGAGTGCTTCGATCTGCTTCTGAACCCGCTCATGCATCTTGATGGTGAAGAGGGGAGAAGATTGCCGGTACTGAAGGGTATGAAGCAAGTCAGAGAGCAAATGGAGGCGTTCCTCGAAAGCAATTGCGAGAAGGGTGTCGGCCTGAAGGTCCTGATAAGGCGTATGGAGGAAGCTGTCAAGAAGAGGTAAAGTTACGCTTTTGCCCGTTTGTATAACGTTCTGGGTTTGGATTGTTTTCTAGGCGTTGTTGGATAGACGATACCACAGATGAATGACGCTGAATGACCATGCACTTTTTCACTTATGCGTTCTTGCTTTGCTTCGTCTTGAGATCATGTTGAAGTGCACCACCATAGTAAAGGTAAAGGTGACGAGGGGGAGGGGCCCGTCCGTGCGTAGATGCCTTGAGCTCGCGGGGAGCTTGACACCTCCGCCTGTACAAACAATTGAACTCAAAGATCGTCTTGCAGCAACAACGCCTTCCTCCTCACTGCTTAACCAGACACCTGCTTCCAGCTACAGGAAGTTTACTGGAAGTCGAATAACCATATTGCACTAGGTGCCCACTGGCAATAGCAACACGATACCCCACCTCGCCGCCCGCCGCCTTGTATACGTGCTCAACCTACGACATCGCTCCACGCTGCCGCGACCATGTCGGCCGAACTCACCACCATACTGCTCTCGTTCCAACCGGACAGCCCAGAGCTCGTGAAGAGGCGCGATTATGACACCAAGGCCCGCCAGTTTGTCTCACAACTATCCAACATCTCATCGACATCTTGGACCAAGGGCGCAGATACACAACAAGATGTTCTCTCGGTAAGGAAAACATATCGTATCGGCCTGCAAACAGCTGACTTTCTAGATACTTAACCCTGCCGTCAACTCAATAGCGTACGCCTTTGCCCTCCGCCACCGCATCTCTACCCTTGTCGAGAAGAGGAATATCCCAGACACACTGCAACCCGGAGGTTCATTATGGAATCAGCTAGTACTATTTCTCGAGACTGCGGATCCTATACAGCTGCGATATGTTGGAAAGGAATGGAGAACACTGGTAGAATATCTAGAACAAATTGCGCGCGCATGCGGATCGGTATGCTCAACGAGATGCTTTCTGCTAGGAGGAGATACTGACGACTATAGCCGAGCCTTGCTATTGCACCGATGCGGTCAGCTATGACCCGACTCGACCCTACCACAGGCACCTTCACTTCAATTCACCTCCTCTTCGTACAGCTATGTTGCGAGACACGATCGTACGCGGCCGCCGAACCCATCCTCGACAACTACATTCACACTATTCCTCTGAGGATGCCGACCGTTGCCCGTGACGGCCTCGAGTACTCAGTGCCATGTGCGGATGTCGCGAGTAGCGGAGAGTATATACATCAGCATTCTGGGCATTCAGACAAGTTCTCGGTGTCAGAAATAGAGGAATACTACGTTCTAGGAGCCCAAGCATATCTGGGAATTCGCCAGTTCAAGAAGGCGCAACATTTCCTCGAACATGTGTTGGTCATACCTACGGCCAACACCGCGAACGGTCTGATGCTGGAGGCGTATAGGAAGTGGGCGTTAGTGAGCTGTCTTGTCGAGGGAAAGGTATGTCACAGTTGAGCAGTCTGCAATGGAACGAGCTGACATGTGCAGATGGGAACTTGCCCACGTACTTCGAACGGCAATGCGATCAAGAACATCAAGGCTGCTTCGAAAGCATACGAAGCTTTGGCAGAGGCGTATGAGGAACTGGATAACATGTCCAAGCTGAAGGCCCAGGTGCAAGCAGGGTCTGAGATCTGGGCAGAGGTATGGTTATGAGACACTACAAAACGTTCACGGTTTGTTGCGCACACGCTGACAAGACATGTAGGATGGCAACACAGGCCTCGTCAACGAGCTCATCAGCAGCCAAACACGGGCCTACGTTTCGCGGCTATCACGGACATACTCGGCAATTCCAGTCTCAAACATTGCCAGCCACTTGGGGGCTTCCGCGGATGAGATCGCCGGATACATTGACACATTGATCAAGGATGGGCACCTGAACGCACGACTAGAGGAGACGGACAAGTCGAACGCGGGGATCGTACTACGTTTCTTCTTAGATCCAACACAGGGGCCTCTAGCCAAGAGCGAGAAGCAGCAACAGCAAGCCCTGTTTGACCAGACGCGTCGTACCAACATGCTCGCCGAGCAAGTCAAGGATGCCGACTACCGACTGACGCTCACCAAAGAGTACGTCGAGAACCAGAAACGGTTGAGTAAGCGGCAGAGCAACAACAACGGCGATGCTATGGATACAGCATGGGACGACAGCCTCGAGGCGGAGGAGGACATGATGGTTGACCTGCACTGAAGAAAAACAGCGATGGAGTAAGCATATGACATGTGGATTACAAGCTCACTGGAAGATGGACAAGTGGAGCTTAAGCGGCTAGTGGTGCTTCGATTGATTGTTTTGCAGGGTTGAGCATGAGCAGTGTCCATGACGCGATAACGGTAATGCATGAAACGAGAGATGGTGGACCCGAACGGTAGACGTGATCATGGTCAGACCACGGAGGCTGGCAAGTAGCCTGGAGGAGGCTGCGGAGAGGCGAAAACGATTATAAATGTCGTGCAGACGGTTGGCTCGTCGTGGCGTGCATATGAGCAAAAAGAAATCACGAAGCCACCAATGTCATGTATGTGAGAAGATGCGTGATGGAGTTTTGCTTGTTGCAGGTGCTTTTCGTGTCAGACAAGTAGGCGTGTGTCAGTATCAGGTCATTATCATTATCGTATGCGCGAGACAACCGCGATGCTGGGACCGCGTGTTTGATAGCAATGGGACTTGGCGCGCGTGGCAAACGGACCGATGTGGCACATTACGATGTTCGGGCGTCGGGCTGCCATGAGCGCGATGGCGAACGCGTTGGGTTGTGTAAATGTTGGGACGTGAGGATTCTTTTTCACTTGTTTGCCAGGGCAACAATGCCATTCCGAAACATGGCAAAGGCGATATCGCATTTGGCTGCCGCGGCGTAGGAGGCGTTGCGGGAGTAAGCAATGCATGTTTGTTTTTTTGCTACGTGGGAGATGGGAAATGGAGATGGGGGTGCGGGGAACAGGGAAGAAGCATGATGTACTGTATGCGCAGACTAGAAGATGGACTAGGAACGATAGATCTACAATGGAGAGATGAGAGGACAGTAGGGCATGTTTCTAGTGGGAAAGTAAGTCAGGAACCCAGTGTGGAACGCAGGCAGGCAGACTGTGGGCGTCCATCAAGCGCAGCCACAAGGCTAGTCGATAGGGCCAGGACCTAGTCAGTTCCTGCAGCAGAGGCCAGGATGCAATTGGGAAGACGAGTCTGAAACGCAATGTCGCGGGCAGAGGGTCATGGACTCAGGCACCCCCAACAGGCGGCGCACGAGTCAGGACGACGACTACTTCGGCGACGCGGTGCCCTGGGCCCCTGAAGCAGAGCGGTTGCGTGCAGCACAGAGAGTCGCTGGTCTGAGTCGGGTGTTCGTCCGGAGCATGGGAGGAGAGGGAGCCGGGTCGGCCGGACAGGGGTATCTAGCATGGGAAGACTAGGCTGTGTTTGGAAGACCCCTTCTCCTTGGCGGCATTGTCGCTCCACAGGGCCGTCTCTCGTCGCTGTACGTACGACATATTCAAGATAGACAGCACCGTTGCACGACAGCACCGAAGACGCCGCCCGCCACGCCTCGCCGCATCATCGCCGCCTGCCCCAGCGCGTTCCTGCTTGCGGCAACCATGCCTGCATGCGCATTGCATTAACCGCTGGCTTGGCCTGAGACACGCATTCCTGCCTCGACGGGAGTCGACAAACCAACATGAACACCACGACCGCCCAACCGGATAATCCCTCGCACCGCCGCCAGTCGTCGCGCAGTGGCTCCATCTCGTCGTCGTCGCTGCACCGGTCCGCCTCGCTGAGGGACTCCAACGCGGAATCGCCGTCTTCGTCCACCAAACCCCCCCACAAGCGGGCCACACCGCCCCCGGCCTCGTCCAGACGCCGCTCCAGCGCTGCCAACGGCGCAGCAGATGGCATTGCAGCCTCGCGGGACGGCTCAACTGCCTCTGCGAGTCTGAACCGCTGGTCTCAGAGCACCACGACCGCCAGTCGGGACCAGCAGGAGCGGCGCGATACACACCACCAACACCCGCACGCCAACCACCAGCACCACCCCAGTTTCTCGCGCAAGCTGAGCATCACCACCACCCTGCCTGCCACGACGCCCACCACCGCCAATGCATCTGTACCGCACCCGCAATCGCCCTCACGCTCGCCCACGTCGAGTCCCCGCCGACACCGCCCTCGCTCCCCCGTCTACGACCCCCCGTCGTCTGTGACGGCGCCCCCAAAGATACCCTCGCTGCCTCCGATACTCCTACCCTCAACCGTCTACGACCCCAACACTCCCACGAGCACTTCGACTACCAACAACTCACCCTCTGCATCCAGCCTCTTTACCCCGAACCTGCTCTCCGGAAACCAGCCACGCGACTACTTCAACTCGAAACCCACGCAGCCCCCGCCTGGCCAGCGGCCTCCCTCGCGCACCACAAAGGCTGAAAGAGTGTTGGGCAAGTCGCCTCTCGGGTCGCCTGCGGTCCTCCACGAGGCCGACTCCACTTCGGGCCCAGGTCGGCCCTCCACAGGACGAAGACCATCGATCGCTGCGGCACCCAAGGAGAACGCCCAAAAGCCCCCGCCGAGCGCGGGTCACAGGCAGGCCGCCTCACGGGACCACTCGAGGAGCCAGAGCAGAGAACAGTTCAGATCCGCCAGCAGAACCCACGCCCGGAGCCCCAGCAGGGATCACCTTCGCAGCGAAAGCAACGCCAGCGCTAGGCTAGACGACGGCCACCAGGGCACTCCTCCCCGCACACGCGAGCGGAGGGAGAAGGACAAGAAGACAATGCTGTCGCGCGCCCTGCAAAAGGCCAACACAGCTGTCCTGCTCGACAATGCGCAAAATTTCGAGGGCGCCATGGAGGCGTACGAGGATGCCTGCAAGCTCCTCCAGCAGGTCATGATCCGCAGCTCGCAAGAGGAGGACAGGCGGAAGCTGGATGCTATTGTAAGTTACGCCTAAACCTTGTCCAGAACCCCGGTGCTAACCCAGGTAGCGAGTAACGTATACCAACCGCATAGAAGAGCTACGACGATTAGATCCTGGCTACACTAACCACAGTGGCAAATCGCTACCGGCTCGTCCTATGAGCGGGGAATCGCTGGACGAACACCGCTCAATGCTGCTCCTGGATGACGACGAGCCGCCTGCAGTCATTGAGACTGCCACAGTATCCCGCATAGTTAACGACCGTTCCATATATGATACCCCCTCCATGGGCGAGCCAACATCGGCTCCCTCACAGCAATTGCCCCTTCGTTCAGGTTTCGAAGGTCCTCGTGAATCTGTCATATCCACAGCTATCCGCGATGTGCAAAGAGGCATGCAGAATCCACAGTTCAACCTTCAGCCCCCGCCTGGGCGACTTGCCCCTTCTACCTCGTCTGTCCGATCTTCCACTGCCGAGTCAATGATGGACCGTGTATACATGCCTCCGCCACTGTCTCCAAAGCGGTCCAAGTCTCCTCTCCTTAGCGGAAAGACCGACTCTGAGCCCGGAGAATATGGCCGGTTACTGCAACCGCAACAGACAGTCAAGACGAACCATCAGCGAGTACACAGCAACGAGTCAACATCATGGCTTGATACTATAGACGAGTCTGGAGGCTCGTCGTGTTCATCCTCAGTGCATTCCATGTCTCCTGGAGGAGTACGCCGAAAGCATCTACGAAACGCAAGCGGAGGAACCGAGGCAGAATTCGACGCGGCGCTTGACGCAGCTGTCGAAGCTGCGTACGACGACGGCTACGAACCTTATGATGACGACATGTCCACCCCTGCCGATATGATAGCGACGAAGCTGCGAAACGTGGAACTAGCCAAAGAGCGCGTACGTGAAGCCGAACGGGAGGAAGCTATCGCTGCAGCCAAGTATCGTTACAAGGAGACGCAGCTTCGGAGCGAAGGACTCCCACACGTGCGCGAAAGTGCTGAGATAAGATTCAACGACGAGGCGGATGAGGAAGAGCGGTTATTGGATGAGATGACGAGAGAGTATATGCTCGATGGCTTCGATTTCGATCTACAGACAAAGTCGTCATTACCGCGGCAGTCGGACTCGAGTGGCTTTTCTGGAAGCACGTACAACAGTTCAGTATCCTCGCACAGAACGACGGGTGGTACATCACTTTCGACGGTTGCGGAGGTGATACACCCGACATCCAAACAGTCATCCACACATGCCCCTCCCTCCGCGCCTGCTCCATCTGGTGCTTTGCCTGCATTGCCTCCTGTTCCGGAATCACAAGCATCGCAAACGATTGACACAGCAGAAATTACACCACGACCAACCACCGCAACCAAGGACGCAGCCTCAGTACGAAGCCGGAGACTATCAGGCCAAAACGCAAAGTCTTTAAAAATCGAGACTTCTGTACCACCAGTCCCGCCAGCGCCGCATACGGAGAAGCCTCCGGTGCCAGCTAAGGACGCGCCTACCGATCTTCCTGTCCAGCCCAAGTCTGCGGCACCAACATTCAGCACTACTAAGCCAACATTAGACTCCGCGTTCAAACTGCCCGCGCTGCCGCAAGCGTCCCAACAATCTGGCCTCCGAGCTCCATCGCCTCAGCCTCCCCTCTACAGTCCTGCCGAGACTGCTGCCACTGTTTCACCAGCGACGCCCGCCCTTGGTCATGCTGTATCCAACGAGGCTGGTCTTGTGCCAGGTTCACCAAAGACTGGGAAAACCTCAGCCATGGGAATTCGGAAGAACAAATCCTCCCTTAGCCTGAAGCAGCGCAATTTGTCAATATCCAGCCCAGATGGCTCAGATGCGTCCATAGGAACGCCACTCAGCACGACCTTCTCCATCACGGGGCGGAAACCCAGCAATGCCGGACTAGCAATGCCAACACCTAGCATCCCCACATTCAACGTTGATGGTCTACCGAGTGGAGGGATGCACTTGTTTGAAAGTGATATCCACTCACCGTTTTCGCCCGGTTCGCCAAGCCCAGCTGTCACAAACGCACCGATACCCCTGGAGCCATGTCCGGATTCGTATCTACTGAGACCGTTCTGGCTAATGCGATGCTTCTATCAGACGATTGCACATCCCCGCGGTGGATACCTCTCAACTAAGCTTTTTATTCCTCGCGATGTCTGGCGAGTAAAGGGCGTTAAGCTAAAGAACATCGAAGACAAGACTGCCAACTGCGATATGCTTACAGCTGCCTTGCAGAAGCTAGCGTCTGTGGATACGAAC